GTCGTGTCAACCGCCGCACGGAGCAGATCGGCGTTCACCAACATGACATTCGCCACCTGGAGACCAACCTCAAACTCCAGGAGGAATGGATCTCGGTCTCGCTTGCGACTGTACGCAAGGAATTGAGCAACAGCGACTGCAATTTGGAGAAATATCGTCAAGAGGTTGCAGCGTTACAAGCTCACTCGAAGACAAAGCCGCCACTTTAGAAGTTCGCGATGCAAAGCTGGCCATTCTTGAGCAAAATCCCACTGAGATATCCAACGAGTCAGCCGTTGCTTCGACTCGTCGCATTTCAGAATATGAAGGACAGCTGCAGTCATTGCACGACGAACTTGATGAACTTCGCTCCCGCCATCAGATCACCTGCAAAACCTTGAGTAGAGCTCAGGATGACCTTCAGGAATGCATTCAGGCATCGCAAGCTGGCGAGAGTAACACCGAGCTACAAGACTGGCTACTCAAATACCTGCTGACATGGCCATATGCATGGGTTGTGTCCATCCTTGCCCAGCTTCTCCTCTGTCCGATGATTCCTCCGTAAGATCAACTCATCACAAAAGAAGTTGAATTTGTGAGCTAGCATTTCACGAGCGATGGGGTGATACTTGCCGAACCAATTGTTTGTTTGTTCTGCCACGGAGGAATTGAACCGCCAACCCTTCCCATCATCGCTATGGAGCTCAGGGAATGCTTCTGGGTTGCAATTCTCCTGGCAGAATGTGTCGGTCTGTGAATGCTTGCATTTGAAATGAAAAACGTCGACGGACAAGCCAATGTTGTCAAAGAAAGGATCGCCCATTGCAAGTTTTGCAAGGGTGCAGTTGTTGTCGAAGAATATGTGATTGGGCTTGACAGCGTCTTCGCCTGCATAGACTTCTTTGATGAATTGCTGCAGATAATCATGAGTTGAGGAAATGGTCATGGAATGACGATACATACCTTGACACTGGCTACTCCCTCTGCTCCAAAGAAAGTCCTTCGAGCAATAATCATACCGCATGGAGCAACAATCAACTGCTCGTTGTGTGTGCGCCGGCGGCCAAAGACTGCCCTGAACTTCTTCCTTCCAGGTCTGTCCTGGGATGAACTGGTAGCAGGAAGTGCTCTCCTGGTATTCTCATTAAACTCATACTCTTCTTCGTCTGGTGGATCATCTGTGAGAGATGTGTTGGTGGCAATAGTAGTTCTGGCACGAGCGAGGCGCTCCTGGAGCTGGAATCTGGATTGACCACGCAGCTCGTGAGTATCCTCGACTTGATGATGTTCCAGTGTTGAGCAAGTGCGTCGGCCACGTACAATGGGCAGGTCACAGCCAATGATCACGCACTTGTCATTTTGACCAGAGTGTAGATGACAAAAGTGATGGTGGTTGTTAGACAGCGGGGTGTGGCAGTTATAAACCGCGCAGCATGGATGGCCGACAGTGACACCATCGACGACGACAGCAGACACTTTATGCGTGACTGTATATATCTTATGACTTAGCCCCGCATAGCCTCAAAACTATGACACTCACCGACACCTTGCTCATCTTTATACATGCTTGTGCATCTATTGCAGTAGTGGCGACGGACCTGCTCATAGCCATAAAGCTGAATGCGGCGGTTCCTTGCGATCATGGCCTCCGTGAATCGGTCTCGCTGTTCACCAGTGTGGGGAGCAACGAGGGTGTTCATGCGACGCTCGCAGTCCTCCAGCAGTGAAGTTATTACATAACCATCCCAAACATGCTCGACAGAAAGCTCAAACTTGACTTTAAAGTCTGCAGGTGTCTGCTTACCATGCGAGAGGCAAAGGTTATACAACTTTGCGCAGTTCGTAGCTGAAGTCCTGGGTGCAACCAAGTTTTATAGTCAGATGGGAGAGATCAAGAGCATAGCATATAGCACACCATGAGAAATCCATTGCAGTCCTAAAGAGCTCAATTACACTCTTCTCGATGAACACATGATCCGCAGCCTGAACACTATCTGGTTGGTGCTCGTAATAGGTGCGCTCTCCTTTAAACACGCTGTAATTATGGTGGTAATCGATTCCACAAGCTAGTTGACCTTGTCAATGACAAACATAATGACTCAAAGCAAGAGTGTGGAGTGCAAGTGCTTACTTTGACAGTAGAGATGGACAGATTTTGCAATGCATGGGCCTTTCGTCATCGTGAACAACACCACATAGGTTTGAGCAGCCTTCTTGAGAGTCATGCCCTTTGCGCGACGTTGGCAGTCGGGATGAAGGCATGAGTGGCTAGGAGGATAGAGCAGATACTCAGCTGGGGCCATTCCATTGTTAGATAAAGAAACAGAGGTGACAACACAATCAAATGAACTTACCTAGACCCCTTTGAGTGCCATGTGTCTCCCATAGCCGTCCCACATCAACAGTGATCCCTCCACTCCAAATGACATCCTTGAGGAGGGACCACGCATCATTAACTTCAGCTGGAGAGATTGAACAGCCTGCGCTAAGAAACACAGTGACTGCAGGTGATAGAACAAATGGTGGATCTGAAGTTGGACTCAAGGAAGGCTCCACAAGGATGATGTCGTTTTTAAGCCGGGTTGCAAGAGTGATGAACTGGAAAAGAGAAGTGAGCGAGGTGTTACTGATTGTGCCTGGCTCTTGTTCAAGATGGCGCAGCAAGTGATTAAACACTGTCATGTTGTTCTACTGTTACCACCAATGTGAATCAAATTTGATTTGAAAGTAAAAGCTCGATAATTATGATTATACAGAACGCCAACTGAGTGACGCAGGTGGACCCGGACGGACCCAGCCGGACCCAGCCGGACGGTCCCGGAGTCTGCCAATTCCCTGATATTCTGCCAGAGTGGGACCCATACAATACCCCCGGAGTCCGTGGCAGAGTTACCCCCAGAGTGTCCATTTCCCGGACGTTCTCGCGGAAGTTAGCCCTCAGCGCTTGAGAACAGCTCGTACACGTCCGGATCTTCACAGTTTCTGCCACAGCTTTCTTATCGCACCACTCTCGTGATCCCCATATGTGTCTACTCTACAGGTCCCCGTTCTAGACAAGGTAGCTCAAATTAGAACTCTTCCTCTATTTCAAGCACTCCGTTATGGTGGACTGACAAAATACGTGGAAGGCTTTGTTTTCAAATACCCCGTGCAAGTGCACGTTTGTTAAAGACGGGATCAGAGGAATTCTTCGCATTGAAACGTGATGGAACGCTGGTAAACAAGTAAGTGAATCGACGACTATACCTTTGCTACGTTGGAGCTTACATTTTGTCAAAGTTCTTGTCATGGTCGTTCTTACTAAATACGATATACTCGTCGATCGCGTGGAACGAACTCTAGATGAAGCCTCTCAATAGATTTAGTGGCAAAGCTATCGAAGAACTCACCAAGAACAAAGCAGAAGCCGAGGTGCTCTAATATTCCTCACACTACGATTTCTAGTGTGTACCAATACCCTGACGAGTCCATACGTGCCTCTGAAATGTAATATTGCAGGCGAAGAATGCTATAGGGAGACTCTTACCCACCTGATCCAGATAACTGAAAACTGCGTCAGTCAGCATTCTACGCCCAAAGCTGCGATGATGACCTCCATCGCTCAGTGAACGCATCCTGGGACTGGACTCAATAGGGGTATTAATTAAGTGAGTCTTGCTTGCTTCATTCTTTCTCAGACTTACGCAGTTTCAGGGTTGGCAAGAAAAGTCTGTCTCAGTTTCGCGTTCATGATACAACCTAAATCTTCATGTCTTGCAGGATATTGGCAAGCGCTTGCGTCGTGCCCAACGTTCAAGAACCGCAAGATGTGGGATGGTCTATGTGCTTCACACTGACATCGTCGATGTGTGGAACTTCTGCGACTCTCATAAGGTGGTGGTTATCTTATTTGTCGTCGTTGCATCCGACCTAACGTGATTTGTACGTAGTACTTGCATAGCCAAGAGTTCAGCGCAATGATGAACATGGCCGATAAGATCGATGTTGGACCGACAACTGATCCCCCCAAGACCGCGTAAGCTGGTCTTCTATGTTACAGATAAATTTCATCTCATTGAGTATTTGCACCAATAGCAGCAAGTGCCGTACTTGCTGTATAGGTTTACGATATATACCTAACGTCGTACGCACCACTATCTTTTTGTGTGCAAAAGGATATCTTGAACACTTCTTTGTCAGTCACGCGGTGCTTCAGCGCTTCGATCGCATGTTTCGTATGTGATGTGTTGTCATACCTGCTTTAATTTCATGACGTGTAACTCCAAGGTTTTGAACAAGACCTACTCTACCTGCAGGGGCAACATTACGCCACGATCTTGTCGATGCTATTTTTCTGGTAGCCTGAGATCTGTCGACATCGATTTTTTATGAAGATGAATACTAAATCGGGTGGAGAATGTTGAAGTGATTATGGTGAGCAAAATCATCGAGCTCTGGAAGGAACGGGCGCACGGCCGTGGGGTGGGGACGCTTTGTGTTTACTGCCGAGGGGTAGGAAGCACGCATGACACGAGTATTTGTGATACCTACTTGCATAATGCTCAATCTGATTGAGAATTTGATTCTCCGTGTCGACTTTCTGAATAAGAGCAATAAGCTGTGCTCATGATGTCCTCAGCTCCTAGAGTTGATGAAGGACGTGTAAGACGAGTTGCCGCTGTTGAGAGTTGTATTAGCCCTCATAATAACTCATCCTCATTCATGGCGTGAGGAGCAAGGTTGGGAAAAGGGTAAGTGTATGTCCCTCCCTCTTGCCATATCTACCTCTCACACTCACTTAAATCGCACTCGACCTCCAATCCCAAGACCAACCGTCCTGCATCCGCAGCTGGATGCATGCATGCAAGCATCGTGCGCAGCCCACCCCCTTTCCCCTCTCCATACTTCAAAACTCAAAACATTCATTCATGACCACCTCCTCTACATGGACCCCGGGTCCCCTGCACGCGTTTTTCCCACCTTTCCCAGCACAGCCAGTTCCTGAGCTACGGTCCAAGCCCTGTCGCATACCCTTCCCGATCCAACAGTCCAGCTACCGCAGCAGTACATTGCAAGCACGTCCTTGATGTGTGGTCATCTTCGTTGCTGAACGGCTGGTCGACTCGGTTCAAGAGGCTCATGACAAGTAATTTGGTTCAGTTCAAATCTACGGTGTATCCTGAATGGTGCGTATCCTTTCTTGTCGTGTTTTAATTCTTCTCAACGTTTTCTTTCCTCCCTTTTTCCACCCAACAAAATCCCTCACCCAATCCAAATCGATAACCCCACCCAAAAAGGTTCACCCACCGCATCGCTCCCTGGGTGCATTACATCCCCATCCAAACTGACTACTCTGACCTGTACGACGCGTTTCCCCTCTTTTGCGGACTCGAGCGCGCACCGTGCACATGAAGACCTTGCAAAGAAGATTGCGAGGGCCAGGGAGTAGGATTTGGGATTTTGGAGGAGGGGAGGGTATGGTCGCTTATCTGTATACGTGAGTAGGTGTGTGCGCACGAAGGGTTGCGTTGCGTTGAATGTCGGACTCCATCTCGCGCGCGATGTTGATTTGTTTATCCTTACTCGAGTATGCAAGAGCCATGGGCTCAGATCAGAATTCGCTTAATTTCGAATTGGAGTTATAGGATTTGGATTTGAACCCGCGCGAGCCTCTTTTCAGATTCGGAACGACTAGGTTGATCGTTGCAGAGACTTCCAGAACAAGCATAACTCGTACATTTCAAATCGCAGGCACGCCACACCACACATGGTTATCTTCGCACATGCCACGCGTGTTCTCATACCTCTGACGTATTCCTGTACCGCATACACCACGCACGCTCTTTACTGCACCTCACGTCGTGGAAAGCTCCCGTCACGCGCCGCATGCACTCGGGCTGCGCGTTCATTCTGCGTGCGCATACCTTATATTTCTTTATGAGATTCGTTTCGTCGCTGCGCAGGGTCACTGCAAGTTCAAATGATGAAGCGATGACCGACAGATTGGGTTATGCTACCATGTTTCACATCTGTAGGTTCTATCAAAGGTTCTGCTATCTGATAGCAATAACAAATTTCGCCACATAGACCAGAATTGTGTCCATCAGTATGTGACAGCTGGCCGTCCTCCTATAGTATTTTCATCCTCAAAGGTATCATCCGAGATCGCCCCCAAAATATTCCATATCACTTCGCATAGAAAATGCGTTTCTCCCTCCTCGCCGTGGTTGTTGCTTTGACAGTGTCTATGTCTGTCAGTGCATGTTTTACCCAGGGTCAAGGTTGCAGTAACACCGCCGATTGCTGCATTACCCTTGACTTGACTTATCGCGAAAATGGCGTGAGTTTGAGCAGGTCGCTGTGCAACCAGGGTTCAACCACATGACTCACCTGCGCGCCTTAGAGAGGTTACCACTGCGAGTACTTAGAGTTAGCTGGAAATTAAGCCGGCAGCCCAAGCGGCACGTCGCGACAGTGAGTCATGTTTCTGCTTTCGCTTTGGTATCATGATTGGTGGTGCAATACCTAGTTCGCCAATCAGTACGGTTGTTTTTAGACAAACCTTCGTACTGCTCAATTAACGTAGAAGTTTGAATTCATCTTAAAATGATCGGATGTGCCTAGTCTTGCTTGTGGTCCACTAAACTTGTGTTTGAGAGCTTGTCGAGAGTTCGAATGTTGCTGATGACTCGAATCTCGATATACCTAGTCACTTGTTGTTGTGCAGCATCTACATCTGTGACATTCTTGGAGACTGTGTTGGACGAGATCAGACATTGAGCGGATAACTATACTAGAGCAGGACGGTGTTCATTTGCATTCACCTTCGGTAAAGGGCGTAGCTATTTTCCGCGGTCGTGACGTGGCACTGACGAGCCTTTTGAAATCACTGGCTTTTCGATCAGCGACAACAATACTGATGTGACGCCACAGTCGATATGATTGAGCTGGCCACCACAAAGGCACAATGCATTGACTTGTCCCATGATACCAGCCCTGCGTGTTTGTGGACGTGGGACCACCTCATACTAGGTTCGTCACACAAGTAATGACAAACATGTTTCGTCTTTATGCCTTGCGACCGCGTCACGTCTGATTCTGTTAGGATAAAATGAGACACTGTTAGAATGACAATTATTATGACAGAACGAAAATATACCTCAGTTACAAGAGACGGTCAAGATTCTTGGGAGAACTTGTCGTGGTATGCGTAGTGCTTGACCCAGCCTAAACGAGGCTTGACATGGTAGTGCAGAGTACAGAGGGTGGATCGAACTTGACAAGGCGAGGTCGAGGCTTGACGCGGTGAGACAACACCTAACACTGCATCTGAAAACCAATATTAGCTGCACGAATTAGAGATGATATAGCAATACAGGACTAACGCAAGATGCGCACCAGTAGTACGGAGTCTGGACACAGAGCTGAGAGGACAAACGCAAGATGCGCACCAGTAGTACGGGCACAGAGGACAAGCACTGTAAATTTGGTGAAAAGTCAATACGGCACTCTAGGGCCTGTAGACAGGCAGACACTGATATTATGTTGATCATGAACGATGATACAAAGTGTTCGGAATTCAGTTCGGGTGACATATGATATTGTTTGAACATGACCTCAGGCTGCCAGCCCTTCCGAGTCGATAAACACGGCAGATTCAGAAGTAAATGTGCCGTAAAAGCACGCATGTGAAGATCGTGTGAATTCATCATGATCTGGATTGAATCATCTTCATTTCAGCTACAGCCCGTCGAAGGTCTTGGAGCAGGAACGGATTTCCGGATATGCACACTATCGCTATAATCCCGCAAACACTACCTCAATTCCAAGTTTCAGCTCATCATCGCCCCTAGTCCGACATCACGCAGAAGAACTCACACACGCATCAATAAACAAGCCATCCCTCTGCTGCCTGCAGAACCGAGTCCCATCCACCAGGCCCATTCTCCCATAACTGCACGCTCTCTACCTCGTCCTTGCCCAGCTTAAACTCGTTGTAGAGGTGTGGAAACATGCCCTCCCCTCCGCGCGGACCGCACACCTCTGCCTTTGGATCTTCCCACTTGATGTTCTCATCGACAGGGTCGTAAGGGATGCGGAGTATGTAAACTTTGGCGTGGTCTTTGAAGAACCAATTGAGTGTGTTTGGGACCTGGTGTGCGGTGGAGAGGTGGATGAAGCCATCCGTCTGGTCAAGGTCGCTCACGGGAAGCCGTTCAGGAAGGGGATCAGGTGGGGCTGCTGATGTTGGAATGAGCTTGTAAATGTAGGTTGGTTTGGCATCTGATGGTGTGGCCATGGTGTTTGAAGAGATTAGGATTGTGGGCGAATTCAGATTGTAGTGACAATATTAATGCAAACAGCTTATCGGAGGGATGGACCAAAAATGTACACGAACACATTGGAACTTGGAAGATAATCTGGTGTCCACATGGACAGTCACACAGCAAACAGTGTCAGCAGTCGTTACAACACATACGTAGCTCGTAAAATGTATATAGATCGTGCGATGTGAATCCTCGAATATCTTCAAGGCTCACACCATGTCTTTTCCCATCTTTCCCCTTCTCTTATGCACGATCTTCCATAAAGTAAGAATTGGCCACACTGCACGTCTCAGGAATGGAGCATTGTGGTCGTGGAATGAGCTATACGTCTGAAGCGTGACGACGGTGTAAATTGTGAAGAGCGTGAGCGAAACGGTGACCTCGACGTAGCGACCAAGCGTCTGTAGAGATCCTGAATTGAACTCTACGACGTTCATTCCGAACACAGACTGAGTATATGGGGTCAGATGGGTTTCGCACTAAAGAACCTCCAGGCTTACAGCTAAGAAGCTTGCCGGCAGGAAGACCATCGTGAGGTACGAGATCTAAAAGTTTGTTGTTGTCCGGTGAGTCACTTTAGTTGCAGAAAAGAAGGATACCTGTTTCATAGCTGCCGAGTCCCTGACCGTCGCCTCTGTCAGTTTTCGCGTTTGTCTACTGTCATCGATATTAACAGTCGCGAAAGCAAGATCCATCACATTCTTGAGTCGGTTTCCCAGCATCGCACGTCGCCTTTCTAGACGATCAATTTCGCTGAGTAGATTCTCGGACTCCATCTCCATAAGTTTCCTAGACTCTTTGCGCTCTTCAGGGGAGAAGTTACTAGAGTCCATGGCCGGATTGTGGGTCTTCGTGATAAATTGTACTGATACCTCAAAGTTATGAAGCAGTGATTGATACTGCAAGAGATGTGCTTGGAGGATATGAAGCTCGCGCGTGAGCTCCAGGTTATTCGTTTGCAGTACTCTTGATTCCTGAATGTTCTTTAGTGACACACCACTTCTACTCTGCTCAAGGATGACATACCAGTTCACTAAGATGTTTGTACAGCAGCTCAAAGGACTCATCCCATGCATATAATGCATACCACAAAATCGCGAGGAACAGGAAAGTCGGGTCCTTTGACTTGTCGAATAATTTTTGCCAGTACACACTACCCCCCACGAGCTGCATGAGCGAGTGGAGCCGCCTCGCGGATGTCCGGCACCACGTAGACTCGGGATGGTAGGATATGACGGTACTTGTCTTTACGCCGCGGACCATGTGAATCGCGAGGAGGTCGATAAAGAGCATGTTGCCATCTAGAAAGGACGTTGGAATGTGAATATGAGGACCTTGATGCACATACCACTCATAGGGAAAGGAGCCTGGGTGTTGATCTGAGCATCTGCTGAATGTGAATAGGATGACTACGACAGATGATGGGTCACTTACTCCTGGAGTGCAATGGTTGTGATAGAGATAGAGAGGTCGATGCTGATTGAGAATTTTTGCGCAGCGTTCGTACAAATGGCAGGGTAATAGTGATGTCTATCGCACAACATCAGCATGGAACGCAAAATGGAAGATTTGAACTTGCGATCTCCTTTGTTATGTACAGGCGCTTCCTGGTATCGTGAGGGTATCCAATTTATGGAGGACGTGAAAAAAAATGGTTCGATGTTGTATCTGTGTGTGTATGAGGAGCCTCAGAGCAGGTAGATAAGTGAAAGAAAACCACGTACCTTGTGCCCAGCATGCGCAAGACTGACGGGGTTAAGTCGTCTACAAATATCGATCGCACTCGGATATCGTCTGGACGCTACAAACCGTCTCACGCCCTGACTAGCATACGAGGGTGGTGAGACTCACTTCCCCCTGTAATATATCCCAAAACCCATCCTCAGGTTCATGTTCAGGTCCCACTACTGTAATATTACCCTTTCCCCCGATATTCGAGCTTGCAAAACTCCCGTTGTTGCGCACATCCATCCAGTAAATGGTGCTAGTCTTATTCGCCAGACACTTCTCGATCATCTTGCTACGGCCTACTTGATCTGGTGTCCAATTCCCGAACTGGTTTTGAGGGTACCCCCGCCAGGATGGATCAATGGCAGTCGTAGAGGCTGCAGAATCTACTTCGAAGTCCATCCATGGCCATGGTCCCGATGGTGCCGCATGCCGATATCTGTGGAGAGTATCAGTCGACAAAGTGAGGAAAATAAGAAGACAGAATTTACGGTGGTGCGGGTACCGCCGGTGGCATGGCTATATTACCATCCTTGAGGTTCTGAAGAGCAACGTCCGAGTCCTTCGAGTCGTCATGGCGCACTCTAAAGGCGGCGGCCAGTGTTCGAGTCATGATGTCCTAACGGATGGAACTAGTTCATGCAGGAATTGTCGTGAGGAAGGGGGACGTTGAGTATATATATGGTAGACATGGGCGCCCAGGGACGCTGCGTTCGTTCTCGACTTGGCCATTGTAAGGATAGACGCCTTGATATAAATTTATGCACGCTGCCTTTTTCGATCAATATTGAAATTAATTCTACACCCACTTTGAAGGCACATATCATGGCTGAATCGTTTAGATGTGCCCGCGTATACAAGAGGCTCGGCTCGATTACACTCCGTGAGACCCTGAGATGCGCTGGCATGAGGCATGTAAGGGACGTCCGAGGTTATCCGAGGGCATGCGCTAGTAATAGGTCTAACCAAAAAAAGGGTTCATTGAAACCAAGTATTGGAGTGGAACTCAGTCCATTCTGATAACTCAAGTTAGGCAAACTAAGGTCGAGAGTGTATCTGTGTTTAAGTACTTGAGTATTTGAAGTACCGTAGTCTTGAAAGTTGTCATGTAAAACGAATGTCGAGCCGGAGACTTCAATTTGATTATGTAACACCCCGGCAACGCAAGCAAGTCACAAGTCGGGGCATCATTCCATCATGATCATGATGCGTATCCACGGATGCATTTCATCTGGGTAGACAACATGGGAGTGTACTGTGACTCTCATCCAGTAGCAATTCAGACGACTAAAGCTTATAAGCGCTAAATCACAGTGACACTAGTGGGTCCTGTTACCAACCCCTGCTGCCAACTTTTTACGGTCTTGTCGGTTACCCGTTCGACCTCGTATGATAAGGCCTCTAATTGATCCCCGAGTCAGCCCAGTGGAAGTTGTTTCTACTATGATGGTGGGTCTGCAGTGAGAGAATGGGTGCGTTTGTCAGTGATCTAAGAATAAATATTCAATGATATGATCGTAACACAGATGGCCCTCGCAGTTATAGGTCCCTTGACATGCTTTATGTGTCTTTGAACGTGCTCCAGTCCAACACAGTGACTACGTGCACGCTTGATGGACATCCCAAGAACTCACCGACCCGCTGAGGACGGAGCTTTTGTGCTCCTCCTATTTGTCAAGAGATGATCACAGATCTTGGTGGAGTCACATCTTCCCATGCTCTCTGGTAACGGGTGCGCACTGATATGATCCGGGTGTATCTCCACTCATGCTTACACCGGACAGACTCGTAACCGGTCTGGACTACGTCTTTGAGATGTTATGGCTACTGGACTTGTCCGTGATGTATAAGCCAGGCTGGTCAGTCACTGGCACCCTATCATAGAGAACCAATCCGGACCTTTTCAGGTCTAGACTGAATCCAATGGATGTCTCATCATTTCAATTTCTACACCACGTTGTGGAAGTCCAAGAAACGCTACGTTTGCGATGGGCTCGCTGTACATGTCCATAATTATAACATATGGACGCTAGAATCCTCTCTACTCTTGAGAGAGACGCCGTCAGGCGCGAATCACCTTTACTACACTACGAGTACGTCCGAGGTGAGCAACGCTGTTGCCAAAGACAGTTACACATGGGAGGGCGTCTGACGGGGCTTACCTGCCTCCTGTTCCATTGAATCCTGACCAGTACCACATTGAGCCGAGCGTCTATTATGGGGGTATCATATAATAAGATGGGTAATATATCCTAGTGGACCTGTGCTGTGTAGATAATAAATACATTGTATTGTAATTAACTTGGTTTGGTATAAAGGAGACATGACGGGAGTGGTGCGGTCACAACGTCGAATATAGTAAGACATCATGCATGCAGATGCATACGCATCTCCAAACCATCCTACGCCCCATATCATCCGTGCGCCAACATCTCAAACAATATCCTGAAAATTCTTCAGTGATTTCTGTCTCCATTTGCCATTGAACCGCTTGAAGATATAAAACATCGGCCACATAACACGCTGCACCAAAGTGCTATCCTTGGAGATAAAAGGACTGTGCGAATGACAGGCCACCATGAGCCAGGAAGTAGCGCATGTGAGCGCTAATGCCGTCGCAACGTAATGAACGAGCGTCTCCTGTCCTTGCTGCCCAGTAACCTCATTGACATTCATCCCGAACACGGCCTAGCGAAGCACAATGATCATTAGCACTTCGACATCACTCTCGCATACTTGGCACATACTGCAGTGAAGGAAGCGGGAAGGAATATCATCGTGAGGTAGGAGATCTAAACAGACACTTCTTAAGAACTATAATGATGAATACAATGATGAAACACAAACCTGTTTCATCGCAGCTGAATCTCGGACGGTGACCTCTGACAGTTCCCTCATATGCTTACTGTCCTCTATATTGACAATCGCAAACGCCAGTTCCATCACGTTCTTCAGCCTACTGATCTGCATCAATCGCCTGCTCTCCAATCTCGCAATCTCGGAGAGTAGATTCCCACACTCCCTTGCCATGAGATTCATGGAAATCTTGCGTTCGTTAGGAGTATATTTATCGGAGTACATAGCGGGATTCGGGGTCTTGTGAAGGAACTCGACGGATTTCTGGAAGTCTCGGAGAAGCGACTGATAGTTTAGGAGGTGTGCTTGTATGATATGAAGTTTATGAGTCAGATTGATGTTATCAGTCAACAGCACTTGAGATTCCTAAGTGGCATTGATGAGAAACCAAAAGAACGAATGTAGATGTTTCTGCGACGCACCAGCCAATTGATATGAGTGTAGAGCGCGTCAAATGCCTGGTCCCATGCATAGAGAGGATACCACAAGATAGCTAGGAACAAAAACGTCGGGTCCTTGGATTGGGCGAAGATTTTCTGCCAATATACACTCTGTCCCGCACGGTAGACAATGGAGTGTAGCCGCTTTGCAGGAGGACGACGACAACCAGAGCTTGGATGATATGATATGATCGTGCTCGAGTCCTCTGAGCGTACCATATGTATCGCGAGGAGATCGTGGAGAACAATGTTGCCACCTACGTAACTTAGCTATCGATCTAGACAAAGATTTTAGTCAGAACTTACAGCTGAGAGAGAGTGGTGCTTGAGTATCAATGACTTGAGGTTCGTCTTGAAGAAGTACTTAGCTGGGAGTGATTGCAGAAAGAGCGAAAACGACTTACCAGTGGATATGTGCTGTAAGGGTATAGATCTTAATGAATTCGGTGTTTCGGCTGTTGGTGTTGATGGTCGAGTGACTGGATTTTGCATCGTCCGCATGAATTGAAGCGTAATCGTGATATCTGCATCAGAATGTAAGCACTTCTTAAACCATCAAACTGGGGAGCCGAATACGCACGATCACCCTTGCCCGACCGAACCTCCTCTTGATAATGCGAGGGTATCCAATTTAGGGATGAAGTAAAGAAAAATGGTTCAATATTATATCTACAATTCCTGTCAGTCGCACAAGTGACCGAGCGACGACACCATTCACCTTGTTCCAAGCATCTGCAGCACAGTCGAAGAAATATTATCTACGAACAATGCACGAACACGGATATTCGCAGGTCGCTATAGAAGAGGCGTCGATCATCATACACATCTCGAAAAGAGAGCAACTCACAGGCGTCTGCAACAGCGCCCAAAACTCATTTATCCGTTCAGGTGCTATTGTACTTGTTTGGTCTTGTCCCTCCTCATCCAGAATCGTAAAAGCTCCGTTCGTGAGAATGTCCAACCAGTGCGCCGAGCACTTGCCAAGCTCCGGAGAGTTGCTAAGCATCTTGCTCCGCTTCACTTGATCCGGCTTCCAATTTCCAAAGAGAGCCTCAGGGTATCCGCGCCATGACTCGCCCGCTGTGCCAGGTGAGGTTGGTGTGTTGCCATAATTGAGCATAAGGTCTGAATCAGTGTCGAAGTCCACCCACGGCCAGGGTCCCGATGGTGCTGCATGACGGTGGCTAGAAATTATTAAAGTAGCTGGATAGGTAGGCGTGGAGGTCACTCACATAGGTGTAGGAATGGCAGGAGGCATAGTTCTATCGCTCGAGGTGCCGTGCAGACTCGGAGCACTGCGAAGACCAGTAGAAAACATCACGGAAGCTCTATGGTTATTAGCCCTCGACATCTTCACCCCGTATAAGATGTGCTGCAGGAGTAAGGGAATCACGAATTCATTCCATCCTAGCAGACTAGATATACTAATGGCGACCGGCGATCAACGTCAACCCGAAGGCACAGAACAGCAAGTCCCACTTGTATTCTCCAGAAAGAAGGATCTTTCAGCCACAGACTCAGATACATAGCCAGCATGTGAAATCAGAACCTGTGAACGCTTTGACAGATTCCTGTTCAGCTTTATGTACGCATTCGTAATGCTGTACTGCAGATGACCTACCATAAACGAAAGCGGATGAATACAGCTGGAGGAACCATGAAGCACTGCCAAGTAGTGTTAGCCACGTCACCAAATTCACCAAGAACTTCAACTGGAATGAATTACCATCTTCCTGCTACACTGTATATGGCCTAACTGCAAGCCCGGTAAACTGATATTTGCCAGAAGGATCGATCATGGATGGTGTCATCAACATACCTTATATCAATGGATAAACAATAGGTTACGATTATCTAGCAGCGTCCTTCGAATGTCTGTGGCGCGCTTCGGAGTAATAAATATACATGAAGCGATGCATCAACGTGCACACCATCAGAAGACGACTACTGAGTAAGGAAAATAATTACCAGAAGACATTTGAGTATTCTGATAGCTCATCTGGCTATTTATAATGCTGTTGCAAAAAGTCACCTATTCCTTGTTCACAGCATTCGTGGGGCGTGCAGCGTGCCCACTTACCCCTACCGCGCGGAGCGCAGTCGTAGGACTTAGGGGCTTGCTGTACAATGTACCAGTGTCTGGTCCTTCGGGAAAACAGTTCTAGTATAAAACAGCCATCTCTGCACAGACTACTGAAAGTCCAACAACCGTCATCACTACTAACGGAAGCGCATTCCAGTATGCAAACGTCGCCTGGCTTACGATGATGCCCTTTTGTTTGAGGATGCCTTTCCATAGAAGCCCCGCGAGGCTTGCACTGAAGGTGAACGATACAGCACCAATATTACTCGCGACAGCAAGGGCAATAGCAGCTGCGCGGAAGGTCTGATCGGATAACATAGGAGATGCCGCATTCACGACCTTGGTGAGAAGAATCGTCGCACCAATGTTTGTCCCGGAGACATTGCACAGGATGACTCCCAGAACACCGATCAACCAAATGGTGCGGTACATATCTCCGTGAGTGGCTCGTAGTAGCCATGTCGCAAAGACGTCTATCCAACCCTGGTGCGAAAGGGCTTCAATCAAGATAAACTGCGCGAACGCAAATGGGACGAGGGCGAAAGGGAGCCTCGGGAGCGCGGTGAAAAAGGTAGGAAAGTGGGCATGCAGGCGTTTGTGTAGCGCAATGCCCTTGGAGCGCCACAATGCGACATAGGTCTTGGATAAAGGTTGAGGGGACCTGCTGCTAAAGGTACGATTGGAATCGGGATCAGAATTCACCTTGTCTGCCGTGGGTAGTGGGAGGGCGGACTGGCGATGCCGGCTCTTGTTATCTGATATTGTCTGCGCATCTTGCAGCATGACATCGTCTAACTGCATTCCATTTTCCCCTGGCCCTTTCTGCCCGCGCCCGAGCATCGGTAGCTGCCGAACAAAGCGGTAGTGATCCCAGGCAACATCATAGATAAACTTGGCCACAGCAAAAGGCAAGCTGATCTTCCACACGTCAATTCCGAAGAAGCTGACAACCAAGCACAGAATGAGAGCCGAGGCAAGCATGAAACTACCGACACAGGCACCGATCGGATCGAGGAGGACCGAACGGGCGTCAAGGTCAGCAGCGTGGTTCAACTTGCGAGGGACGTATTTTTTACTGTGGTATTGACCGCCAAGAGCCAAGAAACAGAAAACGCTGCATGCAATGAATGGAAGGATGGTATACGCTGTGAAAGCAGCATTGTTCACGTTGAAACCTTCGCAGATGACCACCTAAGATTATCGATTCAGGAACGTCAAACCTGAATTCGAGTTCATCGACACGAAATCAAGACCCACATTGGTTGGATTACCGACAAACAACACCATGCTCGCTGTGTTCGCTGCCGCAAACTCGGACATGAGCCATGAGATATGATTAAGCTCGGCGACTTTTATATAATAAACAAGGAACGCAGTTCCAGAGAGGATGACCGGGTCATTTCCCAGCATGATGGACAGCAAGGTAAGCATGATGTAGAAGTAGGTGTAGAGTTTCCAGCCGTTTGAGCCACCCTTGTTGCTGACCCAGAACGCTGCAGATTGAAGGATACCGGTGATGTCGAGGGTGATAGCCATGTAGGCAAGGGAGAAAAAGAGGATAAGAATGTTGTAGGGTTTAACACCGTCTGTACCGACGATGCCGTCGCGAATGACTGTTGGATCGAGACATTGTGCCGCCCATAGAATGGCAATTGCGATGATTGGGGCAGTTGTTAAATTTATTGGGATACGGGGTATTCGTCGAGGGGTGGGTATAGAGACTGGGTATATCACGAACCCAATTGATATGACGAAGACCACCAAGGTAGCGACAGAATAACCAGTAATCATGAGATCTAGTGGGCGTCAAGCGAGACGTCCGGTTGTGGGTTGACTGTGAGTCAGACGGAGAAGTATATAAGTTGTTTGCGAACGCCATAACGTTTCCACAATATTTTGGTCTATATATAGAGATTGGTTCTTATCGATTTCTGTCTTCGTTTTCGAAATTCCAGAAGCCAAGGAACCCGCTGCGATATGCCGGCCATGACATGCATGACATATGCTTGACACCTCATTCGAAACTTGCCTGACCATGGGGCCATAATTACCAACGTGTGCTCACACAGTCGCACTGGTTTAACACTGCACTATCCTCCAAAGTAATTACCGTCGGCGCAGTCTAGTCTGCTACTCGCCGCATCTTGGGAACCGCCCAATGCTCGCTTGACATACAATAACACACCAAACGTGACTAGCCGGGCACTCACCTTATCATTTTGGGTTTACACAATAGGTAAAACTTGCCATCGTCACCATCGAGAAGTCGGCTAACATGTTCGCTGGGATCATTCCAGTCAATTACCTACTTCATATACGACAAATGAGGGCGTCTGTCGTCAGTGTGGTGCTAAACCTGTGCACAAACCTTGCACCTCAATTTCGAAGAAGAACATCTTTTCAACCTTATGACATCATCTTATTATCAACTCGCAGCCGCAACTGGACTGAGAACCTAGGTTTCGCCTCGAATGGAAAGCGTGGTCATTCATGCGTATGAATGGCGCCATTGGATGATTTGGTCACATGAAACACTGCCTTTGATACTTCTGACCGGACAGCTTGCTGCCCTAGCTGACTAGAGTCAATGGGCTTAGTGGAGATCGACGTTTTAGAGTCAGTGAAGGTTACCGAGGTCAGATAGATTGGCAACTGGCACAAGGATGAGTGAATGTCTTCCTCCCGAGTATTTGATTTGACAACTCTGACAAGTGGATGTTTGGCGACACATTCCATCTTACCTCATCTTGTGAAGCAATGAATACGGTCATCCGCTCCAGGACATGCAGTGCTACAGCAGGTCCGATTATGCACGTCAGCCGGACCAATCGCAAGTTAGTAAACTAGAAACGATTTGAATTGGTGCTACAGCAGGTCCGATTATGCACGTCAGCCGGGCCAATCATAAGTTAGTAGACTATAAACGATTTTAATATGCTACTGTATTTCACAGGTCCGGGGAATTACATAAACGAATCATATGGTGGACGAAATATACCCGTGAGTTCGTACCTCAGTGTCACTGCTACTTATTGCCACACAACAAGTAGGAGAATATCATGCCTAAGCTACCCAGTCAACTAAGTCCATTGAAGCGCTGTTCGAGTCGGATAGTAATTTGCTCCTAACGTCAATCGCAAACCTTGTTTCGACTTGCGACGTTTCAACGTTCAACGTTCAAGTAGGTGACATAGTAGGCTACGATATGATATGGTACGTGTTTCATGCAGAAGATAACATTGCTCGTTAACATTTCTGTTTTGCTGTAGATGGCCGATGCTATTCTTATCATTGAATGTGCTGTCAATGACCTGTCAGATGATGCACTGCCATCCGACGTGGCTCCCCGCCAGTAGATGCGGACCACTCTTTTCTCACTTGACTAGCCTATTTTCGCAGGCGTCACAAACAGCGATACGAATTTTCAGTTACATATTTATCTTCTTGAATGATGTTTGTTCTTGACAATGTAAAACAGGTTGCGAACGCGATTGATGAATCGCCCACCCTGAGTGTGCCCTGTCTTGCCCATGATGATCTTGAGAGGAGACTATTCAACTGGCGTATGTCGGTTATCGTGGTGATCTATGATCTGAATTGTGTGAGTGCGACCTGCGTAGCGAACACTGTCGATATCTAACGAAGCATCCTTGTACTCCGGTATTCCGTTTCTCATATCTGGATGGTACAAACGGGACGAGCTCGCCATGACAGCAGCTTTGGCCTGGGGACCTTGGTTGCATCTAGTATCTTCAAGGTATGCAGTGGTTAAGGCGAGAAACAATCTCCCTGCTATTGACCTAAATGGACGGTCTGTAAGTGGTTATTTTGCATCGAAGGCAGTATTACCACCTTCATCGATTTGTATGATGTCCATACCCACCCACAACATCAGATGGCTCACTCCGGAGGAAAGAGTACTTACCATCTCAAAGATGGTCATGGTAAGGTTGAGCTTGAGAAAAAGTCGATCATGCAAGAACTGTGATATCATGATGCTGTGTTTGACTGAAAAGTGTAGCGGTTTTGTGATAGCGCAACCACTCCACATGGTCTGCACTCGGCGCAACTATGAGTTACGGTATGATGTTATCATTGCTACTCTGAGCTCGTCCATGGATGTTCTCGATTAAAGCTCTTTCGAAGTAGGCGAACCAGTTTTATCGGAGAGCCGTGTCTGATCAACAAGTAGAAACTCTGATAAGTGGCGCTGATATTTTATTGCTTCGAATGCACTTACTGCTCTTGGATTTAGCACATTTATCTGTACAACACTTGTACATTGCTACACGCTGTATTCCGCCGCAAGTGATCCTCTTATACTCCGGGTGTACATGTTCCCGATTAGACGGATCACTAGTCTAGACTCTAAATGTACTAGCTGCAAAGGATGAAAAGAGGCCTGTAAGAATGACGCTGAGTCATGAGGCTTACCAGCGTCGCGAATCGATTCAACTTGGTTGAACAAGTTTAACCCCGAAATAACGCGATTACGACGGATGCATCATTTCATCCATCCCCGAGGCCTGAAGGGTGTCATCTTCTTCGGCCATGGACTCGCACAGATATTACGGAACGTTCCACGTACTATGACAGCAGCAGGCAGCAGGTGGTGGTGTAGTACTAATAACTTAGCGGGATTGTCAGTCACCGGCGACTTCAAACTCCACTACCTGCAGGTGTGCCTTGCGTGCACCCAGACTTCAAGTTGGTTGCGGACAGACTTGATGCTCTGCGCAGACTTTCACCAGACCGGCCATTTCAGGCTCGTCCTCGCCACTCCGCCCCTCGACTAAGAGTCCCCACTATTGACTTTTCGTCCTCGTTCATTATCGCATGATAGGGGCTCCGACCCTCGGATATGGCTCGGGGGTTCCACATCAGCTATAAATATGCGTGGCTAGACGCCGCCGCCGCATCACAATTCCTTCAGAATAAGTATACTCTAATGAAACTATAGGTTGAGAGGGGTTAGTCGTCCACGTTATACGACACAAAAAGATGCACCACAGCCGCCGGTCTGTATTAATTTAGCTAGTGCGGTAAGTGAATCTTGCCGCGGCATCGTGCGGCATCCGTGAAAATCGCGATATCGCGGACTCATAAAGCTTGCGGGGTCGGCATCACCCGAGTGGTGCTATCTATAGTACTTGACAGTCGCACAATTCCTCGAGCAACCTGGCTTGTCAGAAGCATTTCGACTGAGATGACGTCAGTGGGTTTACTTGGGCCTCGTGCTGTACTGATTATGGGCTGCATAGTACGCCTTGAATGGTTTTTTCTATGCAAGAGCACGACTCCAAGTCACAAGCTACGACAGTCGGCGAAGTCACATTCGAGTCCCCCGGGCCACTATCAAGGAACTCTATTCCCTCTATCTGGTCTGCCTCTAGCAGACTAGTGCATTGCTGTTTCAAATCATAATGCAGTGATTCCTCTACAACGTTCAGCGGCGCATCGCTAGCAAAGCCCCAGATCAACATCAACGTTCCATTGAATGCCCCCAATTATTTATTGTGTTACCCTGAGATTAGGTTTTCGCACGCATGTGTCATATACAGGTTCCGCTGGTCCCTACCATTCCAGACTCGGAGCAGGGACACGCTCTACTTGATTGGAATGAATCTGTGACAGTCGAGCATACAACACGATACATTGTTATCTGGATATGTACTAAGGTAAAGGCCTGAACATTAGTGTTCATTCAGAAACTTTGGTAATGTCCCTATTTACGCTCCTTGGGACTGGAACTGGATTGGGCCATGTGCGAGGGTGTTACGGTAAAGACATAAGGTAAACGCTCCGATGTCTCTTTTATAATGGTTCACTGACTCGAGTCTTGCCCTACAGGAACATGTCGGGGATTTTTCGTTCTCTATTAACTTTGTGTCTGACGTTTGTGTCGTCTTGTATCGCACTCAACACCCAGCTAGTCGTTTCAAACGCCAAGATTGCCCCGGACGGTTTTGCACATGAGTATGTGCTTGATGCACGGCTCATGCCTGTCTAATCAATTTTGCAGCGCTATCGTGGTCAATGGTGATTACCCTGGACCAGTCCTCACAGCAGTGAAGGTAAGAAATTCGCTTTATGTGGCTGTTCGTACCAACAAAATCATCTGTGTTCAGGGCGAGCGCTTTCAAATCAAGGTCAAGAGTGTGTTGGTGGATGAATCGATGAACAAGAGTACAACCGTTGTTCGTCTCGTCTTTACTCTGGGATCGTTCTCTGACGTAGTTTCAGCATTGGCATGGAATCAAGCAACGCTCATCAAACGAGATGGACGGAACTGCTATGGTGACCCAATGTCCTATAGCGTCTGGGCATTCTTTCATGTACGACTTCACGCCAGCCGACCAGAGCGGGTCATTTTGGTGCGGAATGGCTTTGTGCTACAGGAATAATAATTGATGGTGTATCAGGTATCATTCACATTACACACTCCAGTACTGTTGGTGATTTCATTTTCCATCGAAGTAAACTGCCTAACTTGGTTATTCAGGTGAAGGTTTAAGAGGACCCGTCGTCATTTATGACCCGCTAGATCCCTACTTGGACATGTATGACGTTGACGACAGTGAGTATGAACGTTGACTATGCAGGGTAGTTTATGTGTACTAACGATATGCAGCATCCACTATTCTCACTATCTCAGATTGGTAAGATAATCAGCAGCAGTTTTACTCGTTTACATAACTGAACCATCTCGTTCAAGGTATCACGTGAACGCCTACGATATCACCGGAACTGACAATCCCGATGCGATACTCATCAATGGCCGCGGCCGCTATGAAGGCGGACCTCCGGTACCTCTTTCTGTTCTCAGTGTTATGCAGGGAAAACGCTACCGTATTCGATTGATGAATATGGCGTGCAAACCTAGCTTCGTTTTCTCGATTGACAGCCACACGTTTACTGTCATTGAAGCGGACAGTGAAAACACGTTACCTCTGGCCGTTGACTCGGTTCCAATCTTGGTTGGGCAACGATACTCTTTAATCCTGAATGCAAATCAGACGGTTGACAACTACTGGATTCGGACAAACCCCAATTATAACACGACCTTTGCAGGAGGTCTAAATTCCGCGATCCTTAGATATGAAGGAGCTCCACGGCGGGACCCCATACACAGAAATTGGACTATAAGTAACCCTTTGTCTGAATCGAACTTGCGCGCTCTAGAAAGTCCTACAGCCCCTGGTCTTCCAGAGGCCGGTGGCGTAGACGTTTCGTTGAATCTAGTCAGCGTGTGGGACGACAATATCGGGAGATTTCTCATCAATGGATATAGCTATACCTCGCCGACCACTCCCATTTTATTGCAACTTTTAACCGGACAGTTGACTGCCTCTCAGTTGCAGCCCTACGGGTCAGTTTACACCTTGCCGCCTAACAAAACAATCGAGCTGTCTGTACCAGGCGGACAGCCCGAGGAATATGTAAGAAATCTATCTTTCTTCCTTTCACTTTTCTCATGTACCACTCTAGCATCCTTTCCACTTGCATGGTGTGGGTATGACCTACTATATCCGGTTCGTTCTATCTCACGTTTCGCACAGCACTCCTTCTCCGTTGTAAGAAGCGCTGGAAGCAATCTATACAACTACTACAATCCTGTGCGGCGAGATACAACAAGCAATGGTGTTGGAGGCGACAATGTAACAATCCGCTTTAGAACCGATAACTCCGGACCATGGTTATTCCACTGGTATGATCAAAATAACTTTTATTGTGTATGGCTTAGTGTCGTTCTTTTTTTAGCCACATTGACTGGCACCTTGAGCTGTTAGTACTATTTTTATTTTTCAGTCCGCAATCGAGTGAATTTTCTGATCCAAATTCTGTAGGGGTATGGCTGTGGTGTTCGCACAAGACGCCGGTGATACTTCTTTGGGCACATCAGGTAAATGCCTCGCTGATATTCGATACCCTGCCTGACCTCATTGTCATTGCTGTAGGTGCATGGAATCAGCTGTGTCCGATCTATGATGAGTTGCCATCAATAATTCGGAACGGGAGCGAATCGTGAGCACTATCACGAAGGCGGTATGAAACACGAAATTCCGGGTGATTTGGAAAGCATTTAACAGATATCCTAACTTTTACATTCTACTAGGACTGTCTGTTGCCAGCGTGTCGCGTACACTATGTTTTCGTATTCTTCTCCAACCTTTACATTTTCTTCTTTATCGTTATCCTATAATAGATAGACCTTGCAGTGGCAAGTTAGTCTGTATGTATTTGTGGCATAAATAATGTGCCTTGGCTTGCTTTTCTAAGAGTGAACACCTGAAAGCCGGCCAGTCAGCTATTTGGGCTCGTGAGGAGCAGGATTACGTGCGCTTGCACTGTCAGAAAGCATCGTAAGTAATCGATCGCTCACAATTCTGACACAGCGAGTTGAGGCAGTATCCAAAAAAAGCTGTGATGCGCTGTTCGGCGCCCGACAATTGACTGAAGGCTGCCTCGAGACCGGAATGCACAGCTGCACGGAAATTATCGAGCTACGACAGGGAGGAGGCACCACCTATGTGCACAGTGTCAGGAAGGAGCGGAATTCGTGGATACTTTGGTCCAGTGTTATTAATGACCACAAACGCTCCCGACTCCACTCATCGATCATTGGTATTGGGGAGTCCCAAGTACTATGCGCGTCGAGTGATCGGGCACGAGGTAACCGCGGCATACGGAAGATGATATACTTGCCTTTGAGGTTTATATTGAAGGCACTCAGAGACACATTTGCCCCTGCAGTCGGAAAAAGAGCAACTCGACGTGGAAGCGTGTTTAGAATTGTAGAGATCCGAGGTAAATATATCAGGCCACTAGAGATCTGTGATTCGTGTTTGGTAACGCGAATAGTGTGAACGTTAACCAAGCACGGTTCTCCTCGGTACAAAGCACCTTGACTCGGAATAGGTTAATGGCATGTAGTAATGATAATCTGTACAAACTAAGAGCAGATGCAAATAGGAAGATTTTGACGGGTTCCGTGCAGGGAGTGCTCTTGAGTTTTATACACTGTGAAGCCGACTCGCTGAGTCTCGCTCGGTTACTAGCACCATCGAATGGTCAAGAAGTGGTGAATTGCGAGAAGGGATTCGTCGCCTCTTGCCACTGGCCAAGTGATTAGGATTTGATATCTCTGCAGGTCCGACAGCCTCAAAATACGACTGTTCCGAGTTTATATTTACTACCTTGTTCGATGTGCAGCTGGCAGGTTAGTCGAGAAGTCTAAAAAGGAACCACTCTCGTGAAGAAGAGACGCAGAAGATACCCAAGATTTCGACAAAAACAGGTCGGAGCGGAAGCAATAAGTCATAACCAAACACGCTTACCACAGGGTCCCTCTCGACACTGTCGTCCACGACGACCAACACCCTTTCCACGACTTCCAACACATTCGCAACATATCTATGAGTAGTCGACAGTCACGCAGCACTCCATCTTCATCCTCTTCCTCTTCACCACATGGCTCAAAGTTGTCCAAATTCCTAGCGAAGCAGAGCCGGGATAGGTCAAAATCCATGACAGATCCAATCGTAGCTGCTAGCACCGCGTCCATCGCCAGCTCAAGTTCATCCAATTGTACGTCTGTCAGTAGCCCGCCACTTTCACAGTACAGCTCGCGAAAGAGCGGAAGATTTGGTGGTGGGAACGCTAGCAACAATCTTAGAGACGACAAGCCAAATAGCCCGCAGCCTGACCCTGATAGTGAACAGGAGGACTCATTTGATGAAACACCTGTTATTATCGAGCCTGTTGATATCATACGCTCACGGAATCGTTCAGAACGCCCTCTCAGCACCATTGGTGACATACCTCCCTCTTCCATGTACGCTTCAACATCATCCACACGTATATCGGATCTCCCTACACGACTATCCGGATGGCTATCACATACTTTTACCAACTCATCAACAGACTTATCACTTCCGTCAATACTCTCGCAGTCCAATTTTACCTCTCAGGCATCCCCTAAGACCAAGAGCTCAGCCTTACTCACCGCCGCGAAGCACGGCAAAGGACATCTCGATCGCGCAATGCGCTTTTTGCTGGATAGTGACTCTATCCCTAATAAATCTCCAGAGCCTATATGGCTCCTTGGTGTACAACATTCAGGATATGAACCTCCACCTCATCCTACCCCCAGTCGCCGCCCTTCTATCGAATCTCGCCGCTCTCCATCGTTCCGTTCTACCACATCATCCTCAGCCACAGTTTTACCTGACCCCTCTCTGTCACTCTCGTCATCCTCTTCCAAAAACCCTGCCAACAATTGGCCGCCTGTTTTCTACGCAGATTTTACGTCACGAATATGGCTAACATACCGTAATCAGTTCGCTCCCATACGTGACTCCACACTATCGGCTCTAGAGTCGGACTTAGCTTGCTGCGAGCCACAGCCTGTATCTTCGAGTCCGCGCCCTAAGAAGTGGCATTGGCCAGGCGGAGGTGAGAAGGGCTGGACGAGTGATGCGGGGTGGGGTTGTATGCTCCGGACAGGTCAATCACTATTAGCAAACACTCTCTTGCATTTGCACTTAGGTCGAGGTGATCTTTCCCCTGATAGCTCAAGAAACTCGTCTTGATTGCTCATTATTCAGAATGGCGCCGTCCTCCAAACCCAGTACACACAAACGATTATGCCACATACGTCCAGATCATTACGTGGTTCCTTGACTCGCCTCTCCCTCAAGCACCCTTCAGTGTACACCGCATGGCCCTTGCTGGAAAGGAGTTGGGCAAAGATGTTGGGCAATGGTTCGGGCCTAGCACTGCTGCAGGCGCCATAAAGTATTCATTTTCCTCATATTCTACTTCTAATCAATCCATTAATCTGTGCACGCAGAACCCTTGTACATGCCTTCCCAGAAGCTGGCCTTGGTGTCTCCGTTGCGACTGATGGTGTTATTTATCAGTCTGACGTATACGCTGCATCAAACGTGCATATTGGTTCACCACGACGACATATGAAGGCCACCTGGGGCGAACGCGCAGTCCTTGTACTTATCGGTATCCGTCTGGGAATTGACGGTGTCAATCCTATCTACTATGAGACTATCAAGGTCAGAGCACTCGCTTGAGATCTCAGCAAACATCTGACGTCTATCTAAGGCGCTCTTTACCTTCCCGCAAAGCGTGGGCATCGCCGGCGGGCGTCCCTCTTCCTCGTACTATTTTATGGGTTCACAAGCTGACAATCTCTTCTATCTCGATCCACATCACGCTCGAACTGCCATACCTCTCCGCCCAGCACCCCCGCATGACTTCAAACGCGAGATGACCCCAGATTCGGGCCGCCAGCGCACCTCCCACCACCGCGCGCCTACTTCACCTTCAAGCGTGCGCACGGGGAGCTCAACATTCTCATATCACGCACCACTTTCGCCTTCACCGCTGCAGCATCAACTTAGTGCGAGCTCGAATACATCAGGTTCATCCAACTCTCACCCGCCACGCTGGCCGAACCCGAGCTTGCCAACACCGCTTGGAGGGTTAGAGCTCGACCCACGAGAACCAAGTACGGAGAACACCAACGAACTGGATCCAGTCGCAGAGCACTACGTGACACAGTATTCCGCTTCTGAGCTGCGGACGTTCCATTGCGACCGTGTGCGGAAGATTCCTCTCAGTGGACTCGACCCAAGTATGTTGCTTGGGTTCCTTTGCAAGGACGAGACGGACTGGATTGATCTCAGGAAACGTGTGAATGAGGTGGGCATCTTTTTGATACCGACGAGTGTTTTCAGTGTTGATTTTTCCCCTCATGGGGTGCGTTGGCAGTTGATGCACAAGCACAAGCCAATATTCACGATCCAGGACGAGCCACCCTCGTGGCCATCTGATTCGGACGAATTCATGGGGCTCGAATCCATCTCGGAGCCAGATATCGATATGGAATTTGACGGAGATGGTGTGGAACGTGACGATCAAGAACAGCCCGAGAACGAAGACCAGTTCTTTGATACTCGCTCTGCATCTCAGTCATCTGTTCCAAAGGGTCAGGGCTCAGAAATTGACACGGAGGAGGATCCAATAGGGCCAATCACACCTGGCCCCAATTCCATGCTTGAGGCAGACACACCAGACAAGGCAAGGGAGCCTATGGATGATTTTGAGGAGATTAGTGCTGAGGACGAGGATGAGGACGAGGACTGGGTAGATCCGTCGCTACCCACGCCTCTGGCGCTGTCCGTACAGCGCCCTTTTGCGCCCCCTCTTGGGAAAGCGATATCGACGAGCTCCACAAGCAGCAGTGGAAGTGCGGGGAAGGGGAGTAGCAAGAAGACGGCTGGGAGGAAGCAGAAGACGTTGGTGCCGCTAATACAGGCGCCGGTGAAGGCCGATGTACATTTCCCGTTTCCGCGGTCGTTGGAGGAGAGCGTGCATGATGGGGGGCATGGGTCTGAAGCAGAGCCATATGAGAGGCGGATGAACAATGCACGTGCAAGAGACGGGGGGCGCACCGAGAGCGGGGGCGTCAAAGCTGTTTTGACGGAGGATATGAGATAGCCCAGGGTCCGTTGGTTGTTGGGTATGTTTTTTATTAGTGCCTGGGCATTTCATTTCGACTTGCGGCTGCCTGTGCTGTGGTGGACCCCTTCGGGCCTGTAACTATGTGTGTACTTTTGCCTGGTTGTTCGTAGAGATACCCGTCACGTTAGGCATTGGCTCGATGTGTTATCTATTTGCCTCTTCTGTCTTAGGCTTTCCAATATTCGTTGACATCAACAACTTTTCAATTTAACACCTTGACATTCACTTGGATGCTGTTCGGCGATCCGACTGTGAAACCAAAAACAGGTGAAGTTCACCGGCTGGATCACCCGATGAATGGGTCATGATAACAAGCTTACCAGGTGCCCATCACTACCATCCGCACCATGTGAACGGGTGCATTGATCATGATCGGAAATTTTGTTCATTTCACCGTCTCTTCGAAAGGTCTTTCGGGTGACAATTTAGATTACCGCTTTGACTGTGGAAGGGGTGATGGTAACCTCTTGGTTTCATCGTACTGTGTTTTCCACCAACATTGTCAGTCGGGGACTCTTTGTAACAAATGAAACGTGTCAAGAAAAACACACTAGTAGGGTTCATTGATGATTGGCGTTTCTTTCGCAAAGTGAGTATTGGAACGCGCAGGAGGGGATATTCTGGTTGCACATCACAACATTTATTCTCTACATCACGACCGCGGACATGTAAAATGAGTAGACTTTCACCGGTAAACAACTTGATAGCAACGGAGTCTCTTCCCATGTGAAACTCATTCCTGTTGCACGAACTTCCAGTATTGCTTCTTGTCAGTCTCAGCAGGAGTTGAAACAATTCTGATCTGGAGTGGCATTGACCACAAAGTCCCAAAATATACCGATCAAGACAAACCTGAGTTTTGTTCCAGTCGCTATCAAGGTACCACACAAAGTTGGTGTTTTGCTTGCGGATGCTGTAGACGAAGAGGACAAAATAGTCTTTCAATACCTGCAATCGATGCTAGATACGAAAGACAAGGTACTACTCACATAAACTCGCCCTGGGACAATTGGGATTCGATCAATTGGTATACCACGGGCGAGCCGTTACCTTCGAGTTTCATTCCCTGTCATTTCACGTGGTGAACAATCCGAATCTGTCAACGCCAAACAGACCGACCAGGGTATCAGCCGAAGCATAAGTCTTGCTCTTTAGATTGATGATTGTTACGAGATCCTCAGCTCCTCCCGTGTATGAGACCATGAACTGTGGTGATGGTGAGTGCAGGATGCGCCTTACTGAGGTGCACGTACAGTGCGGTTATCACCCCCTTCAGAGGAGCCATCATCCGTGTGCCCTGTGATGGGAGTGCCAACCGCAGAGCTACCGCGTTCCAAGTCCGCGTGCTGGGTGTTGTAAAAGACATTCCGGATCTTGCAACTATGACCATCCTTCGGTAATCTGTCACTCATGATCGCGAAAGGTCTGCTGGTGAGTTACTGAGTAGTTGAGTGAGGGGATTGCTGATAGAATAGCAAGAGATGCTATACCTTCAGAGCTGCTGGAAGTTCAGTGATCGTTAATAAGAAACAAAGCGACTGCAATAATAAAATTTTGTGCCACGTATCTCGACCAAGTGCCAGTACGTAGACGAATACAACACAGAGGAGCGATCGACTGAGGACTCTTCATGCTGACAAACCCATGTAGTTCCATGGCCGTCGGACCCAAGTCGGACCGGGTCACCGAGTGGAGCTGAGTCGACAGAAACTTTCTCGGAGACCATCTGTACCCTAGGGTACAGGAATATGTGCTTTGTATTTGCCATTACATATCCCAGTGATAAAATTTAGAGTATGAATAGCTAATTTATCATTCTCAGTTCAGTCAAAATCTTGCCTGAGGAAAACTCTGAAACCGCCGTTGTGTCTGCATTTACAGGAAGCCACCCAATGACGAAAATGAAAACTGTTCAGATCTATTTCTTCCAAAACAAGTGAGTACATACAGTTACAAGATCTCTATCGTCTTAACATTGATCATACCGTGCACATCTTTAACTTGTGCAATGATATTATGATCTGATGCGATTCTCTTGTATTCTTTGCCATGTCGTAGCACTAGCAGGAATGCGCTGAACGGCTGCCCAAGGCGAACGATCAATCGCATTGCACGTTCGCTCAATTCTGAATCAACCGGACCCTGTCCTCCAGGCGACTCAAGGGGGTCAAAATCATCCACACTCTCTGCATCATCTGCATAGTCAGGCAGCTCGAGCAGACGACGATCCCAGGGACGAACGAGTAAGAATGACTGTCGAGCGGGTCTTGGTAACTTGCGCTTCATGGTGATCGTCAGGTCATGAAGCCCGTCTGCCTTGACTTGATACGTGAAGCAGGTCTGCATGTCTTCAGTAGGTCTCCGTATGACTTCTGTGACAGGGAATACTATGCAAGGTAGATGTAGTCTGCAGTTTGCGAAACGAGGAGGGTCCCGGTCGTCAAGCAGAGTATAAAGCTCCACAGCCAAATTTACAGCCATGACATGTCGGAGCGAGGAAATTGACATCTGAATGTCACCTTCAGACAGAGATGGCACGGTGTATGGCGTAGCTTTGTATGAAGTAACGTCGGCCGGGATACAGCTGTTGAATTCGGATGATTGACCCACCCAGTCCAGGGCACTGATGTCACCCGACTGAGATACGACCTCCTGCAAAAGCCTCCCGAGCGCATTTTGCTTCTTCTCGCCATAAATAACAGGCAGGTTGATGCCGAAGATACCAAATAATGAGTATGCGATATCTTCCGGCAGCGTGGTGACACGGGCCGAGACCCATTGGAGTTTCTCCCGGGCGTCTCTCATCCCCGGACGGAAGGCGCTAAGGGCCTGTGCATCTATGCCCGTCGCATCTCCCATCTCCTGCATAATTGACAAGAGAATCCTTGTGGTTTGGAGAGCGATCGTCGAGATATGGGGACCAGTTCTGCTGATAAAATAGGACAAATTTTGGGGCGAGGAATTCTTGGACTGTCCATCCTCGCATGTTCCAAGCGCTACTTGCGAGTGCGCCAGGTTGCGATGAAGGTGGAACATCCGACAGGTAGATGATGGTAAGCGCTGAGTGGCGATACCAGATAAACATGGAGTTGACCGATTGTTGGACCTCGACGTTGTTGGTCTGGTCGATGCAGCACGTATCAATCCATGCCCAGCAATATCCTTTATCACGAGCAGTTTTACAGAATGACTGCAATTTCGCGAAGCCGCTAACTGGGTCCAACTCGTATATCACCTTGCCCTGGATGTCATGCATCAACGGCTCCGTCCCTTCCCACCTATGCGATAGCATGACATAACGGAAGTACATCGCCACCACGTCTTGGATGCGCTCCGTTTGAAGGTCTGTATGCTTCACTGTGGATGACAGAAGCTCCTTGTACTCTGTGCTCGTTTTGAAGGCATTGATCTGAACCTCGCGATTACATAATCGCCCAGTGGAGGTGTTGATTAGACGATGTGGGGCGTCGTCGAGTTGGGCCTTGATGGCCTTTTGAATAGCTTCTTCTGCTTCGGATAGACCAGAATACTGTTGGTGCAAGTCTGGACAAAGAATTAACAAAGTTGAAACTGGAAGACGTGCTGTTTGGAACGTACTCTTTGTTTCCATGTCGGGAGCATTTTCCAACTTGGAGAGCATAACTTTGAAGGCCTCGATGGCTTCATCGTATCGACGGGCGCCATGAAGTGCTGTATGTTTCAACTGATATCCAATGTAAGATGAGGGGTTGAGTTCGATGACCTGTGTATCACCAGAATGAGCATCGAATACGAAACGGTACTCGTCACCGCACCATTTCCGCATCAAGGAGTGCGTCGTCCCATAGCATTTTTCCCGACCTCGCCTGACTGCGGTTCGCAAAGATGGTATCAGTTTCCAAATAGACGTCGATTGCCGCAGAGTAAAGCTCAATAGCCCTGTCATAATTACCCGCAGCGAGGGCATCATCTCCGCCCGCAGCGAGATCAGTCACTCCGGCGGAAGCATGGAGCAAACGACAATCTTCCTTGAAAGCTAAGTGAAATGGAGTTGAAAATTATACCTGGTTGACAGCATGAACACTTGCCTGTGGACCAATCAAGACAGTATGCTTTCATGGCCTCATCAGCCTTATCCATCATGTATCGGTATGCTTTAATGGCTTCTGAAAGTCTACCTGCCCGAAGGAGCGCGTGACACCCATTCTGGTGTGCAGTTCGCCACAAGGACTTGAGATCCCACCCGAATAACTAAAAAAAACAGTCAGACGTGAAAAAATATTTCCAGTTGCATTGTAATCAACTTACCACCACAAATATATCATATTTAGAGTGGATGGCCGCCATAGATGAGAAATTGATAGTGTTGATAGCAGCAGCGAAGTGACCAGCAGCTTCGTTGTGGCGTGCAGCGGTTAATGCATTCATTCCCACTTGGACATGTAGATAAGCCTGAAGTGCAAGGTTCGCAAAATCAGTATCGACGCATGAATGTTAACTGTCAGGAGCGCTCACTTCCACAATACTACAAGCAAGAGAATTCGGATTGGGACGAGTGGTAACTAGGTCTTGAACGCGCAGGATTGCCTCATCATGTTGATTTGAATTAAAAAGAGCAATGGCCTGACGACCACCATTTAAGTAGCGAGTATATGAGATGCAATCGACATACCTTAATCAAGAGTAGAAGACGAGTTTTATTCAAGTCTACGTCTACGTACATGAACGCAAGGTCAAATGCTTTCATTGCATCCTGGAACTGTTGTTTTCCACAGTGGGCGATGCCCTTGGAGATACAGCCCGCCAAGGATGGCTGAATGCTCATACTCTGTATTGTCATGGCAGTTAGCCTGTTTAAAAAGTCATGACGGGACAGTGTATCTCACCTTGAGTGCATCATCAAGTGCGCGGTCCCAGTCGGCTTTTCTCGCCATAACAAACGAGCGATTCGCGTAAGAGTTGTAGTCTTTGCTATCAGCGCCAATATCTTGTGTCAACAGCTTGTCAGCAGTAATCAAGTCCCCGGTCATGCATGCATCGCGGGCTGCCGTGTTGATGGTGAGGATCTGCTTCACGCATGTCAAATTACGTCGTAAAAGACAAGGCTGGAAACAAGCCTTGCATGCCTGGTCCTCGACAATGTCCTCCGGTAAAGGTACTGTCCACTTTGACATCATTTTATCTTTTCCTCCACTCAGGATGTGCTTGCCGTCCGTGGAGAAGGTGATACAAAACACCTGATTGGTGTGCTGGAATGTGGCGATGGTTTTTCGATCCCAAAGCCGCCAAAGGCGAACCTGATGGTTGTCAGATGCGGAAGCGAGAAAAGTGCCGGTAGGGTTGAAGTTGAGAGCCCCAGGATAGCCCTCCCGGAGTTCACCAACCTGCATCCAGGTCAATGAATCCCATATCCGTATGACGGGATCACGTCTATCGCCAACTGAGACAAGCTGTTTGCCATCGGGCGTCCACGCGAGTGAAATACTATTTGTTTCCGACGCAGAGTGACCCTGGAACTTTGCGATACACTGGCATTCCTTCTCGGCCAGTGGATTCCATATTTGGATATCTGACGCGGTTGCGATGGCAAGATATCCACCAGATGGTGAATACCGAACGCAGAAGATGTCAGCGCCGCAATTGATTGGATTTCCTTGCACCTGCCATGTTTTTGTGTTCCAAAGCTTCGCTGTGGTGTCCCATGAGCCGCTCGCTAGTAATGTACTGTCTGGGGAAAAATCGAGCGAGTAGATCTCTCTGGAGTGGACTTGGATGGGTTTTGTGAGAGATTCGCCGTCTCTATTCCAGGCGATGAGCTCTCCGCGCACATCACCGCTTGCTATGAATTGCCCATCTCTTGATACTGCAACTCTGTGTACTGCGTTGCGATGGCCCTCCATTATCTTCAATACAGCACCGCTTTCTAAATCCCACAGACGAAGCGTCTTGTCCCATGAGGCCGTCACCATGCAGGATCCATCGGGGAAGACTGCTGTTGCATGGATACTGTTTTCGTGACCTTCAAATGTTCGACTAGCAGTGGTTATTTGAATGACAGGCTGTTCTACTTCCGTCATTCTGCTCGGCGTGGATGGTGGAGAGCACAACTTGGTGGAGAGCTTGTGGGTGTCTTGATCTGAGTTTCAGAAGTGGGTGTACTCAGTGGGCCTTTTTGGGCTTCTTCACAGCCTCGACCTGCTTCCTGCATCATTAGACGCCCAGGACACGAGGCCTGAAACCTATACCTACCATGTAATTATAAATCCCGGGCCAGCCATACTTTCTAGTCCACTATGTCCATCCGTCCAATCGATTCCACCGCCTGCTCCACCCTGGACGTACGATCAGAGAATCGATACTACTCTTACCGGAAAAGAGCGGGTCGCAGGCGAATCTGCAGGGTGGAAAGTGTATGATACAGCAAAGACAGACGAGACGTACGTACTCCTCCTCGACAGCGATATGTACAAGCTTTTAGTTCCAGGCATCGTATCACATTCATATCCACGATCAGCGAGGAGGACAGGGCGCACCGAGAGCGGGGGCGTCAGAGGGATATGAGATAGCCCAGGGTTCGTTGGTTGTAAAGTGGTGTTGGGTATTTTTATTTATTAGTGCCTGGGCAGTTCATTTTGACTTGCGGCTGCCTGTGCCGTGGAGGCTCGCGTAGGTACTGTGCTTTTTCCTGATGTTCGTTTTCCTCTTTTTAGTATGTCGTCATTGGTGTACGTCGTGGCGGCAATCAAACATTGTAGGTGTGCATTACACCACAATCACAGACACCATACGGTTACCGAGACTCATGTCATTAGCTTCACAAAGAATCTAATCCGTAGTACAAAGGTTGGTTGATCATTGCATTTAGTATAAGGGGCCAGGGCTGCCATCTTTTATCACTTAGCATGAAGGAGGTAAGTGTCTTCTTTGCTAAACTGACGGTCTCTTCGGAAGCTGTGTATGATAAAGTTGATATGCAAGCTGGGGCCCCAGTCTGTTTGTAACACTTGGGAAACGAGAAGATGAGTGCACTGTACATGGACCTTACAAAGAAGGCTTGGAACTGATGCAGTTGTCATCCTTCCACCGTATCTCCTGAGTAAGTACGGCTAGAAGGATGAGCTCCGTGGAATATATAGTATATCCTTCCTCAACCAATGGTCTCCAGATCGATTGGTCTGCTGGACAAGAGATAACGTGACGGTTTCTGTTCGCCTTGAGTATTCGAGTTGTCGGCTTGGACGTCTGAACCTGATTATGCGCGCAGCGTCATGATGGGTTGTACTCAATGCAAGTGTCAATACAACTTACCTGGCCACCGGCAGAGGCTATGACAGCTTTGAGCAACTTCAAGTCAATCTCGACTTTAGGGGTCACATAAAATGTCATCCCTTTCAGCAAGCCCTCCCCTCCGTCTTCACGTTTAGCGCGCTCGAGAGAAGTGGTGAGCTTAAAATTCCATTTCCGTTCCGATTCGGGGTCAGATATCAAAAAGTCCGTTTCCGCTGTAGTGGTCAATCAGAAAGCATCGATTTCCAGGATTAGTTACTCACGCAAAAGTTTGCCAGTTCGCACGCTCGAATGACCCATCCTTCTGTTAACACGAACGGCGAGCTTGCGATAGCGCACAAGAACTTCTCCGTGCGGACTATTCCCTTTGCGACAAGGTGCGTGCAGTCGTTGGGTTTGGTTGTCATCTTTGCCCCCAATTTATTCAACCTCTATTGCATGTTTATTGATTAGTTGATACTTCATTGCAGGGAACTGTCTTACCTTGATAGTGTCATCGGTCAGCTGAATACCTGTCGTCATCACCCTCACTGCTCCAGATTCCCGAGAGGGTCCAGAACTATAGTATGATCCGATAAGTCAAGAGGACGGGTGAAGACGATTTACGCACATCTGATTGGTGGCAACATCGGAGGCACGCGATCCCTTTTTATTCTGAGTCGCCTTGCCTCCCTTTTTCTTGGACGGCTCGTCTTCGTCAACACTCATCACGTCTTCCGCTCTTCGCTTCGTGCCCTTGCCCTCAGTCGTACCCGTCTTCGTCTTCGACTTCGTTTGAGGACTAGATGAAGAAATGATGTCCCCAACCTCTACTTCATTGTCCGTGTCCTCTGCGCGAGCCTTCTCCACTTTACGCTTCTTCATGTCTCGTTCCTCCTCGACTTCTTTGTCACGTAGGGAAATGAAAGAGTCATTGAGACCGGAGCTATGCCTTCGCTTGGCGTTCTTGCGCTCCTTCTCGAAACTAACGACGTCGGGCATAATTTCATCTCTCAGTCTGCTCGTCGCTTTGTTGGCAGCACTGCGCTTTGGTAATCCGCGTGAGGAATAAGTATCCAGAACCACAGAAACCTCATCCTCGTGTTCTGATTCTGACTGATTCCGCGCTTTGGACTTCGACTTGTTCTTCACAGGAGGTGTTGAGGTTGAAGGTTTCGATAGAGAAGGGCGTCCACGCTTGGATCCACTTGTTGATGCCTCGGCAGCAGATGCTTGAATTGAATTCGTTCTAGTAAGTTCGGACCTTCCTTCCTTGTTCGTGGAGGTGTCCTTGCGCGAGCTTGGAGACAAGTAATCTTTCGGTAGAGATGGGACGAGCACGGATACTGTACGTTTCGGCGTCCTGAGGATTTTTACAGGAGGCGAGGGTGAGCGGGTAGTAGACAGACTTGGAGATCGAGCGCGAGCGTTCTGTTTCTCCTTGGCAGCTTTTGCGGACGTAGTCGGCGGCTCTTTCTCCGGCTCTTTGGTTCTTACTTTGGCACTGGATGCAGCAGACTGATGCTTCACAGGCCGCACAAAAATTTCATCGTCATCAGACAAGGATGAGGCGCGTTGAGGAGTTTCCTTCGGCTTAGGCTTTGGTTTCATTCCTGTCTGTACTGGCGTCGAGGACCCGGGGACTACCCTGCTTGCACGGGTTGACGCAGACTCGGAGTTAGAATGCTCGCGAGAAGGGGGTAGATGACCAGCGTTGTGAGGTTTAGTCTTCTCCTTTGATGTGGGCAGTTTGTTAGACTTTCCACCGGCTTTGCTCTCAGCCTTAGTGAGAACTGCGACATCCGCAGAGCTCTCCTCGTCGACCTCCCTGGAATTCTTTACACCATCTGTCACTCCTCCTTCGTACACTTCCACAACATCATCAGATGCAGTGTTTTCTCGTGTGGTCCTCGAACGTTTGCGTGATCGCGGTTTCGTAGGTCTTGAGTTACCATCATCAATATTTGTCATACCATCCTCTTCTTCGAGAGTTACTTGCTGTGATGACGATTTCTTATTCTCCGAGGATTTCGGCTTTGGCTTCGACCTCTGCTGTCGCAGCGCCTTTGAAGGGGAAACATGTTCATCGTCGACATCTATGACTACGCTAGCCGCTATGTCGCCAGCACCGTCAAAGCTGAGGTCCCCTTTATCGTTTCTAGTGTCTCTCGTGCTCATATCTGTAGCTTGGGAAGCAGTGAGAGCATTACGCTTTGGCTTTGACGCTACAGGCTGGGATGTTTTCGAAGGCGAGCTACCCCCATCATCGATGTTCTTTGGCTTCGACTTGCTGGATGTAGTCATAGCTTTGGCATTTGATCTGGGAGTCTCTCTGGATGAGGTGATGGGCCCCACTTCATCGACCATTCCCCTACGGTACTCTGCATCCCTCTGCTCCTCCGAGTCAATATCAATGGGACCGACTCCCCGGCCACCTGGAACGGGTCCCCCTGAGGTGTTATAAACAGAGCTCGCACTTGTGCCACCTATTCGAAATGGCGCATCACATATGATAAGCACTCTAAGATGGAAAAGGCGGTCCAAACTCACCAATTGGGGTCATAAGCATCTTCCCAAAATCGACGCCGGGGGGAAAGAGAATGTATTTGTCAACTCCGACAGTAAGATTCCTGAGCGCAGATAATCAGCCTACAGATTCAGAACAGACAAAGACACGATGGCTTGAAAGCGGTCGCTCAGAGGTACCCACTTCCATGCAATGAAACAATCCTCGAGCCAAGTATGATTGACTATTGGTATCGACCATGCAACTGCGCGCTGTGTTTTAGGCGAAGGAGAACTATGAGCCATCAGTATAGCTGGTAATTTGCTTTCTCAAAACACTTACTAGCCAGCAACCAGAACTTTGTTGCTTTGGCTCATACTTGGTGTGAACCTTGCGCCCATGACTTGGATAAGTTTCTTCAGATAATCTCGCGCGGCGCCAGTATAGTTAGTGACGGTGATTTCCTGAGCGGTGAGTGAAAAAAAGGATCACAGAGCACATGGCGGATTCTGCTCACGCATTCGTTGAGACCAGGAATACCTCCTCTTGGAACTGGGTACCACAGCAAACTCTCATGTGGATCATTCAACATGCCAGATGCATCAACGTGAAACATCCAAGTCAAGTTTCCGATCAAAATCGGACGGGGTGAACGAGCTGCCTATAATATAGCCGCTGTAAGATGTTCCGCTGACGTCGTCGAGTAAACAAGGGATATACCTTGAAATATGCCTTCCCAGAGCGGTACCGCGTGACAAAAACATCACATTCATCCACAAGTGTTGCTTCCTCGTTCTCTTGTGCCTCCTCGTCTGTACTGGTACCTTAGGCATGTGATGTAAGGTCAGGGAGATGTCACGACGAGGACAGAATTATGTTACCTTTGACCTTGACAACAGTTCCACCCGCTCTCTGTATATTCGCCTCCACAGCTTCACGATGTCCCTGTCCCAATTCTAACGAGCGAGATAATAACAATCTCCTTCCTGCCCACACATTGACTCCTTCTCTGCGTTCTGCTTCCTCCATGGCCATAGGGCTGCTCAGTCTTGTCTCACTACTCTTTTTTCTCTTTTTTTTCCCACTTTCTCCAATTTCTAGATCATCCTCGTCCTATTGCGACCTGCATGCCAGGTTGCAAGACCTTCGGATCAGGCCATAAGTAAGGCCCTTCAGGTACACGACGCCCAACGCGAACCTGAGTCATCGAACCAATGCGGTGTGAGGACAGACATGTGGGTGTGTGGCGCAAAATGCATGGCAGTTTGGTACTACACGGTTACGGGTAACAAAGTGAGTAATTGTCCCATTGTACGCGAGTAAAGCTAATATAGAAAGTACCTTGTCACTCTGTTCATGCAATGCGAAGAGATGCGTTACATCCCGCGTGAGGCCCGTTCGCCATTGTCCTCCTAACGAGGTGATCCCTGCTGAGAGAACTTCGAGGTCCGATGGGGAGAGCTTGCGTATGAAGTTTGTGTCATGTAATGTGAGGTAATGAATATTTGCTCACATCGGTGGCACACGCAACGATACCCGAAAAAATCATTGTTGGATCAGGTGAATAGTACTGCTCGCTGACAACGATTATCAATCGCCTTCATACTGATCTAAGATGGAAAGGATGCTCACAGCTGAAGTTTTCCAAGGACTATACTCCGCTGTACCCACATTCCTGATACTATATGCAAAGACCCCGCGTGTTCGTGTTGAGTGTGCGATCCAGCAAGGGCAATAAGGTGGGTATGTGGTGGTGCGCTCGTTGCGCCATTGAGGTCCAGCAAGCCCGAAAGCTCCTTACGCTGTGCCGCCGGTATGGAAGATGAAAGAATATAGTGCACATCGTCGAAGACAGCCATACTGCACAAGCATCAAGCTTAAGGTGCTCGACAACAAGACGTGAGAGGAGGCGTGACGTGACAGTGTGCAACGCGTGCCATCACGTCGCGTGTCGGCACCACGTGCCTCAGAACGGCCAACACCTCAGACCTGTTCCATTTCACTTACTCAGTACTAGGGGAGCTCACAGTAGGTCGCTTTCACGTTCGCTTTCATAACAAATCGTTCACATATACAATGAAATAGCTAGAAACTAAATAGAATATAAAATTCAGATAGCGAGCTTGCAAGTTGTATGGTTAGTATGTCTATATTAAGTTCTTGTGCAAGGTCTTCGAGCGTCGCATCAGAGAACCTGTGAGAAGAAGATATCGTCATATATCGTTATATATCGTAATACATAGGAAAGGTTTTCGTCACATTGGAATATAAAGTGATATAAAGCAATATATGACTATGTAAAAGCACCATAATCAGCATAATCCCCAGCAAGAACTCACCGGTTTACTGATGTCTGTGCGGGTTGAAAGAGTGCTCGAACGATCATGAAAAGATATAAGACTCTAAGTTATTGCTGATGTAGCGAGCCGCGAGCCGAATCCGCATCTTACGGTTCTTAAGCTTGAACGTTAACATTGGGCGTGACGCAAGCGCTTGCCAATATCCTGCAAGATTTAGTTTGTATTCAGCAATCATGAACACGGAACTGGGACAGACTTTTCTTGCCAACCCTGGAACAGCGGAAATCACGAGATAAGAATAAAGCAAGCAAGACTCACTTAATTGATGCCTCTGTTTTGAGTTCAGGATGCACTCGCTGAGCGATGGAGGTCATCATCGCGGCCTTGGGAGTAGAATGCTGACCGACGCAGTTTCCAGTTATTGAAATCAGGTGAGGGTCTCCCCATAGACCTCTTCGGCTACAATATTACATTTCAGGGGCACGCATGGACTCGTCCGGGTGCCACATGAGAAATCGTAGTACAGGGAATAATAGATCCTGCAAATTGCTCTAGAGGTCGGATGCAGGTATTCCGCACCTGGTAGGCCGGAGCTCAAGGTCGTTACCGGAAGAGGCAGACTGCTCAGACGGCTAATCTACGACTTGGTCGCCAGACGCAGATCCTTACTTCAGTTGAAGTAATCCCGGAAAGGTCGACGATGCATATCCTGATTTTGTCTGTGCAACTTGATGTATTCTACGGATGTAAGGTTGAGTTCACTCGTGATTGAGGTGACCGTGCGATTATCATTGTTTCACCTTGTCCTTCGCTTGCACTGTACGCGCGGAACGTGTCATTTGGATCGAACATCAGGGAGAAATCGTGAGCTATGAAGCTCTTAGTAGCTAGGGGAAGCACGGTAGCAACACCCCGGTACTGTAGCAGTCAACTACTACAGAATCAAACTGTAATAAGCTGTAGTAGGCTGTAGCAATGGTACTAAGCTATTTGAAGTTAACATGTATTTTAAACATCGGTTAATCGAATTCACGGGACAGTTCGGTTTCGCCACATCTTCGCTTCCAAAATGCAGTCAGTTGATCAGTCAAAACTTAAAGATTAGATGAGATAGCCTGAGTACTCAGGCTATCTCATCTAATCTTTAAGTTTTGATATCGATCGGTCAACGTTCGAACATCTGCTGTCAAACTTCTGACCATTGTCACTTGAATACCGCACCTATCGGAGATCCATTGAAGCTACTACTAACCTACATGATGTACAGAAATATGGAGCACCAGTATCATGACAAGGGCCCCCTCCGACTACTACCCTCATGGTTACCCCCCCAGCCTGCCAGTGAACTCGAACTTCCTGCCAGCGACCCAAAATAATCGTCACCATCGTGCTGTGGCACATCTAATGATGCCTCGGGTTCTCTATAGGGCCGTAACACCGGCGGAATGTAATATTGTGGAGGCTGGGAGCCCAAAGGCGCTTCATGGCCATAAAAGAAGGGCCCTTGCGGAATGCTATCGGGAACGCATGGCGTATACTGCGTTACCCGAGGGGAATCTACAATTTGACGAGGCCCGGGGTACCACGACACATTAGACGACGTCGAAGACGAGGACGACGTGAGTGGGTTTGGAAGCGAAGATGGTAGGGAGTCGGACGATAGCGTTGATGCGGAGGTACTCGTCCTCGATCGATATAGTTCCGACGAGGAGGAGGGAACGTATATGTTGTATTTTTTGGTAGGTGATGCTTCACCTGTGCGAGATCTGAGAGTCTTTCTGCAAATATAGCGTCAATATATCATTTTTTGCGTCTCAGACGCACTTACAAGCACTGTTCATGGTGAGCCGTCATGCGGGGCAAGAACTCACTGTCATCGAGCTCAGGTTGGTCCAGGTATCGTTTGATCGCGTTCCGGATTCCCAATGCGACCGGTTGGAACTCTTGCGTAGTAAAATGTAGGGTATTCTGGCTTTTAGAAAGCTGGCCAGTAGCAGCACGGCGAATAATACAATATAGCTTGTGTCGAGTGTATCAGTATTTGGGGAGTCTTTAATGAAAAGACTCACTGCAGCGCCCGTAAGTTCATACATGAACCACGATGGTTTTGATATCCGTGCCCTCGACGTTGAATCGTTGAGGAAAGGCGAGCTTCGTCCGAACCAGAAAGCCTCGTGAAATTTGAGATAGGCTGGGGCCGAAAACACGAGAATTTTCTCGCGGTCAGCATCCCAACCGTGAAGGAAGTAATCCTGGAGGTTCTGCTCGTCCAAGATGAGGTTCGCACGCGCTACTATGCGTGCCGTTTGATCTTCTTCGGACATAGTACTAGTGTCATGCTGGAGGCCGAGAGCCGAGAGGTAACCCTCGGCATCCTGAACCAGTTTTCCCCACACAGTCGATAGCTCGTCCAATACCAGTTTAATGACACCGGCGGTAGGTTCAGTGACTAAATGCAAATGAGTAGATAAATAACGAAAAGAATTTATGTACGGTGCGCGTTCCTTGCGCATGCTGAAGAGAGGCATTCTTCAGCGATAGCCACAAGTATATTTCGATCAGCCTCCCAACCGGTCTCGAGTATCATATCGAGCACGATGAGTTTTCGTGCGTGGTAGATGTTCTTTTTGTCGTTCTCGTCGTAGAACGCGATATTGGAGGGTTTTACCTTTGCGCTCTGTTTTGAGCCACGTTTCGCACGTTGTGAACGTTGCGAACGGGTACCATCGTCGTTGAGATCATCCAACGAGATGGTACTCATTGAAGCCCGAGACGACGTGTGTTGGCTGGGGGTGCGCGTGGATGGAATGGCGTACGGCCTAAGCCGTTCTTGCGCTGGAAGTTGGCCTATGCGACGGCGAGACTGGTGTTGTTGCAACGTGTCGATCGGAGGGCCTTCGGTCTTGAAGTTGAATTGAGTTGTAAGTACTATCGAGAACACATCAAAATGATGCATACGTACATGTATCATAGTATTGGCAGCGATCCGACGTTCCGTTGCAATTCTTGAGTCGTTTTCGCTGGTTTGGAAGGGTGTCGGTTGGAATGGGGTGATGGATACTCCGTATTCATCAACGGTAGGTTGTGCGCCAGGAGTCGTACCACGGCCACCCTGGCTGCTAGCACGAGGCATAGTGTGTGGAGCGTTAGGGAGGATGCTTATTAGTTGAATTGTTCGATAAGCAAGAAACTTGCCTTTAAATAAAGCACCAATGGTATATGGTTCGTCGGGTTTGTGCGGTAAACGAACGAGCAGTTCACAACAGTTCAAGTTCAAAACGAGCTTGAAGGCCCGCTGGCACTCTATTGATCGACATGAGGCATGCTGAGATGAGGGTTCTCTGTGAATTTTGAGTAGGCTTACGCTTGTTCTGGGCTGATAGAATCATGATTTCGGGGCGATTTGTCGAGATAGTACTAGGATCAAGCCGCATCAGAAGATACAGGAAATGGATTCATATTTGCATAATCGTGCCGCCAGCCTCATTACTGGTGACACTACAAAAGACTACATATGTATGTATGTGCTCTATAAACAGTCAGATAGGAATAATCGGACTCAGGGCTTGGAGCTGCTCGTTAGTAATTGTGAATCGTCAGGTGCACCCCAATTCTCATCGACACCGCCATTGCATTCAGAAGAGACAGAAGAATGGTAGTCACTGCTGTCATCAGCCTCGTGATCTCCGCAACCTGGGAACAGCCTATTTCCGATCTCCCTGGCGTCTTTTCTCCCTTTGCTCCCTATCACTGCCACTCCTGCGTCGTGGAGGTCATTCCGGAGTGAGCCTATCTGTAAATCAGTCTTGGTGAGATGCCCCTGGGACTCCTCCATTTCATCCTTTAAGAGGGATGTCATTAGTTCTAGTTCTTCAGTGCGTAGGCGCTGGTATTCCATCTTGGCGGCGAAAGCCCGGCGGCTAATACGAGAGAGCTCCAGCATGCGCTGATTGAAATAAATTTCAGCCTCAGAGGACCGATCATAAGTGTACTAAGATATATGAGTTATTAGTTTTGAAGTGCATTCAGGTGAGGGACACGTACTGTTGTAAGTAATGGCTTTGATTTCTTCGTGGGAAGATCTTCGCAGTCATCGAGTCCATCATCTGACAGTAAGCTATACCGGTGTGACCTCTTGTGAGAACCGGATCTGGTAGCTACTGTGGGACTACCCTCATTGACCATAGTGGTCAAGAGGGGTGAAGCCTTGGGAGAGCTACCCCTTAGGATGGGGGAGCTACGTGGTATGGGGGAGCTACTTGGTATGGGGGAGCTACTTGGTACCAATATGGGGGAGCTAGTAGGCACCTCGAATATGGGAGGCAATGATCCAGTAGTAGATCCTCTGAGAAGTATCTTCAGTGAACAACCACTTACACAACATAGCTCATATCAAACACACCTGGGCTTGACTGGGGTTACTTGAGAACCGGTCCTCAAGCATGAAGAGGTATAGCTCTTCAAAGTGATAGAGTTATTAGGCACCTCAGATGTGGCAGGCTGTGAAACACTGGACATCATAGTATGTCAATGGACTTACACAAACAGCTCTTGTTGGATAAACGTACCGAATATGTGTTTTCGAGGTTTCTTGGGAACCAACTCTTGAGCTGGAAGAGCTATTCAGTGCCTCAAACGCGGGAGGCTCAGACAGCGAAACACTGGAGTGTGTAGTTAGTAAATTGGACACTCAAGCAAGACAATTTCTAATAAAAACAGACCTAGCTCTCAAGCTGGAAGAGCCACTCTTTAAAATGGGAGAACTATCAGGTCCTTCGGACGTGGGAGGTGACGAAACACTGAGTGCATAGTATTCAGTGAATGGGCACCCGGCTCCTAATAACAAACAAACCTCTTGAAGGACCTACTATTAGTGCTTCCTGATCCAAATGAACTGCGAGTACTGCTCGTCCAAGGCATGAAATTCCTGAAAAGCATGCAAACTCGTTGATAGCGGATGCCTTTCTCTTGAATCAACAAATAGAAAACTCACACGGATGAGTTTGCCAGAACTTTGCAAAGTCCAGCGATGCTCCGCAATGATACGGTTCTTCACAGCAACTCAATTTGATTTACATGTCACTGATTCTGCTACAGGTGCTCCTTTGGCCATGAAGAACTTTCATAATTCACCATATCCGCACTGAAGCAATCATTGACGCGACTATGCCGTGACAATTGTGAGTCGACAGTCAATTTCGACAGAGCTTGGGCAATCAAGATTTATATTTATAAGGGCATCCCTCAACTCTAGGGTGTTGGCAGAAATCCCCTTGAATTATTCACCAGCATGTCGCTCTCTCCTTTTGATCTACCCCATTCAACTAATGATACGCATGGACTTATCTGTCCTAATTGCGCAGATATGTTTGCAAACAACGATGATGTTATTTATCATCTGTCAACTTCTATTATCTGTGGTCAAAGGGTCGTCCAAGGTGTTGCTCTGGACTTTGGGGTACATAGTCATTTCTCACAAGACTATCCTGATGACCCAGAAACTGAACAAGATGGTATGTATTTCTCACTCAATCTAGGACCAAACCTCAGTATGCACCCAGTCTATGGAGGGTATGAAGGCTTTGATCCTTTGGACGATGTCGAGGAACCTATATTACCACATGTCGGTTACACTACAGTCGACTCAGCATGTGACGCCCCCCTCGTATCTGTTGATCCTTCTGCAGGTCCACGTCCTGGCACAATCAGGGAGTACCACCCCAATATCCCAATTGCCAAACCTGGAGGGCAAAACCATCTTCAACGAATGGATGATGATGAACACGCTACCATCCGTCACTCAGAAAATTTACACTATCCATTTGCATCTAAATCTGAATTTGACCTGGCATGCTGGCTTTCGGGTGGGGCGCTATCGCAAAAGGAAATCGATGCCTTTATTCACCTTGAACATGTAAGTTGTCTATCGACATTTGATGTACCAGTATACTAATAACAGATATAGACGAAGAATATTCCACCCTCTTTCCATACATCCAAGGATCTGCGAGCTCGGATCGAAGCACTACCTGAGGTCCCTCGATGGTATCACCAAGAGATCAAGGTCGGTTCCCATAAGACGAATGCGCCGCTGATGCTATATTGGAGGGATGGTCTGGATGTTGTCAAGCATCTAGTCGCCAATCCGGTCTTTGCGCCTTGCATGGATTTCTGGCCATACCAAGAATTCGAAGGTCCAGATAGTCAGCGAGTTTATGGAGAATTCATGAGCGCTGATCATGCTTGGGAGATACAGGTGGGCTGCAGCCACTGATGTCGAGTGCTCTCTGTATTAACATCAAGTTGTCAGGATAAGCTTCCTCCGGGCCATTCGTTCGTTGGTGTGATTGGTGCTTCAGACAAAACACCTCTAACGATCGGGACCGGAAACAAGGAGATGCATCCCCTGTTGATCTCGCTTGCCAATATCCATGCGGGTGTTCGCATGAAGGCGACATCACATGCGTTCGCTTTGACCGCTTACCTTCCAATACCCAAGTTTCTGGGAGTCTCGAAGCCCGTTCACGCAATTTTATCCGCGCGAGTCTATCACTTTGCGATCTCAATCATCACGCGTAATTTGAAGATTGCCGCTCGTGATGGCTGCGTCATGTCAGACCCAAGAGGGGATCTACGTATGATTCATACCCCTTTGGTTGCCTGGATAGCTGACTACCCTGAGCAACTCCTCATTTCATGTACTGCCTCAAAGCGCTCACCAATCTCCCTCGCTGTCTCTGCACAATTTGGGGACCCTCTTCCACATTCTCCTCGAACTCGCATCCACACCCTTGATGCTATCGAAAGGGCCTGCACTATTTCTGACCCCTGCGATATCGCATCGTTCTATAAGACATGTCAGTCATTGCATCTAAATGGCGTAGTTGAGCCATACTGGATGGATTGGGGCGACGCATGCCCCTCCCGCTTTTTGACGTCGGATGCCCTTCACCAATGGCATAAATTTTTCTTCGACCACCCCATTACCTGGGCCGTCAACATGATGGGGGGAGCGCAACTTGATCGTCGACTGTCGGTTCTTCAACCTCGTGTAGGAGTGCGCCACTGGGCAAACGGTGTTTCCACGCTGAAGCAGCTGACTGGTCGAGAACATCGAGACCTCGAAAAGCTCCTTCCTGCTGTGATTGTCGGCGCTGTCCCCAATGACGTTGCATGCGCACTACGTGCCATCACAGAATTCATATTTCAGGCTCAGAATCTCTTCCTCTACGAAGAAACGTTACACTCCTTGACTGAGGCCTTGCGTGAATTTCACCACTACAAGGCCTCCATCATCGCAGCCGGTGGTCGTCGTGGCAAAAATGGTCCTCTCAATCATTTTCAGATCCCGAAGCTGGAGTTAATGCAGCATGTCGCCCGGAGTACTCGCGCCATGGGTGCCCCATATCAATGGAGCAGCGACATCACCGAGCGCTGTCATATCACCCATGTGAAACGGCCTTACCGCATGACTAACCGTAAGGATTTTCATGGTCAGTGCTGCCGCTTCCTTGATCGACAGGAAAAACTCCAATTCTTCCAGCTCTACACAGTTCTGAAGTCGCAGCAGGCAAGTTTAATATACGAAATGTCCAGGGAAGCACATGCCATGACCCTCCACTATCCCGAAGCAACCTGGATCTCTACTGTTCTGCCTGATGAGCAGTATGTCGGTGCTGGCAAACCAATTGCTTCACTGTTCATCAAAGATCGCTCTCGTATTTCTTCTGACGACTCTGTCGCAATCCTGCTTACTTGCCGTCCACACTATCCTCAACTATCTATCGAAGAAGCCTCTCAACTTTTTCACATTCCTGATCTCCATCCAGCACTGGGTGATCTGATCTCTGGTAGATCTTACCTCGAGCGCAGTGGAAAACGAGTTTGTCGCCCTAACTGTTCCCTTTCCTTTGATCGCCTTCGCGTTTGGCAAAATTTCCGCATGCAGCGGCGCTCCGTGCAAGATAACTGTGTTGTTGGCCCTGCTCAAACCATTCAGGCGCTGCCGCCTAACTCTTCGATGCCATTTGGAAGAGGAAATACCGTCCTTATTGCTCACGAAAGCGGTGAACTGCTATCCCCAGCAGCGTCTGAACATATGTGTAATCCTTTCGCTTGTAACTTAGATTCTCACAAAATGATAGGTTATATTGTTGTCCAAGTCAAATCTATCCTCCAACCTATTACTGAAGCCCCCCGTCTGAACCAGCCTTTCCTTTATGTCGAATTCTTCAATTTCTCTCATTCATCAGTTGATGCCTTCAACGGCCTTCGTCTTGTTACTCCCGCGCCTGTGACTGACATGTACTTAGTTCATCGTCGTATTCGCTCGAACAACACCGCTTTAGGAGACATAGTACCTCTGGAAAGTGTGCGTCAGGTCATCCAGCTAATTCCCAAGTTCGGTCGAGAGGTATCAGCAGCAATGAATTGCGACAATAGTTTGCAGCTGGCGCGCGAGTTTTATGTGAATAACTTCGCAGATAAAGAGACCTTCCATGCTATTCTTAGTTACCAGTAGTTTCTCGAGCCTGTATTATTGCTAGTTTCCCTCAATTTCAAGATTCCTGCCTAGCAAAGCTATCATTGAATGACGAGCAGTGATCATCATCTTATCGTATCACAAAGATTACTATGATAAATTTTTAATCATGATCGCTTAACATATTGTGGCATGTTCGAAAGTCCCGGAGCCAGTATGGAGCTTTTAGTGCTTCCAGCTACTACTGGTTGTTACAGGCTGCTACAGTCGCTTCAAAAGAAGCGCGGCGCTACGCGCTGCTACAAGTCACTTGGCTCGGCAGTGGGTTTCCTGATGAAAGGAATGTTTTCATGCTTCAAGTCGGTTCCAACTTGAGAACGTTCGACTAGTTGTACCACATTCCTAGTAAGGACACATTGAACTTTAATTTCAACTTCCCCGATCATACTAATCCTTCGGCTCGCCAATTGCATCATGCATGTACAAGAGTCACAAGACCCTTGAAAACCTCGTCGGCCGCAAATTTACCTCTATATAGTACTACAACTCCAAAGTTGTCGTTGAGTTTGTTACGATTTTGGCCTAGTCAAATAACGAGATAGGCATGTGGTGATTCTGATAGACTAATTTCGAATATGGCTGATATCATTGGCTTCATGCACATGCAGCTGCCTCAAGGTACACAGCTATGATACCAATATTGATATTGCCCACTGCCCACTGATTCTAGATAGGCAGGCTTCGGGTTGGGCATTTGCCGGGTTCACACACTGCAATGATTATAAGGCTACACCAACGCTTCTCCAAGTTTAGTCACATTTACCTTCCCCCATGGATCCTTCAAAGATAAGAGAGAAAATCGGCCGCTTTCGAATCCTCGTCGTAGGAAGAGCGAATGCCGGAAAAACTACCATACTACAGCGAGTTTGCAACACACGGGACGACCCAGAAATCCACAACAGCTCCGGGGAAAAGGTGGGCCCATCACATTGCTACTAGGCTGGAAGATGGTACTAACACATCAACATCAGATTGAACTTGCAGTTATAGAGGCATCCAGAGAGGTGAGTTGTGTTCTCAGTCGACGACAGGAACTTACTCGGACGTGCTCTCAGCGTGGACTGCACGACATCAATAACGAAATGGTGTTTCGAAGCAACCAGGGGTTCATTTTTCACGATTCTCGCGGGTTTGAGTCAGGCGGCGAAGCGGAATTCATCAAGGTCAAGGGATTTATCGCTGACCGTTCCAAGGAAAAGAAAATAACAAATAGACTTCATACTATATGGTAATTGTAACCGGTCAATCGCGACATGGGCTATCTCACGGTTTCAACGTAGGTATTGCATCCCAATGGACGAAGCACACAGGTCGTTCACTGCAGCTGAGCAGAAATTCTTCTCTGAGTGCGACACAGGAACCAGTAAGCTTTCGCATCCCACCCTCGTCAACATTCGACTGACGCGCAGAATCACACTTCTCAGTTCCAGTGATCGTAGTGTTCACGAAGTTCGACGCCCTCTACGATGTAGCATACACACAACTGAAAAAGGAAGGAAAATCACGGAAAGACGCTCAAGAACTGGCCCCGAAACGCGCCGAAGAAACATTCCCGGATGGACCGCAATTGAAGTTTCTCAAGGGCGTCAAATGGCCTCCAAAAGGTCATGTATGCCTCCCTAGTAAGTCGGTTTATGGTCGAGTTGCGATACATGATGACCGTTGATCCATCAGATATGAACGAGGATAATGCAGATTGTGGGGCGCTGATCGAATGCACGGCTGCAACTTTGAACAATGAAATGCTGGAGCAATTATTCGTCTCGACTCAGCAGACCAACTTGGAGATCTGCATGAGATATGCAATTGAGAAGTAACTATTCATGGTCTCATTCGCCTGCTACAGGTGTTAGTGACTGATATTGTTTAGAACGCTCCCAACACATCTTGACTCTGCAAAGAGAACAACTGAAGCATACAAGGAGATAGTAGGGACCTTGGGCAGCTGGTTTCCTCATATTTGGGTGAGATTATTGCAAAGTTCAAAGGTCGCTCTCATTTATGTTGAGTGTTTACTTGTAGGCAGTACGTCTGTTAATCCTCCTGGAGCTCGAACCATGCTGATCCAAGTCGTTGCCCACCGTTCGCAGGAAGTGAGTGTGTCGATCCTCGTTCGAGCAAGAGCCATGCTGATCCAAGTCGTTGCCCACCGTTCGCAGAGAGTGAGTGTGTCGATCCTCGTTCGAGCAAGAGCCATGCTGATCCAAGTCGTTGCCCACCGTTCGCAGAGAGTGAGTGTGTCGATCCTCGTTCGAGCAAGAGCCATGCTGATCCAAGTCGTTGCCCACCGTTCGCAGAGAGTGAGTGTGTCGATCCTCGTTCGAGCAAGAGCCATGCTGATCCAAGTCGTTGCCCACCGTTCGCAGAGAGTGAGTGTGTCGATCCTCGTTCGAGCAAGAGCCATGCTGATCCATCAATAGGACTATCTTCGCGATGATCACTGTGCGGTGATACAGTCCAAGTTGCTCTCTGTGGTATGTCCAATCGGTGGCAGATTGTACATATTTCTCATGCTGCGAATCTGCCAGGCCTCTAGCAGCTCATCACCCTTGGAGAACATTGTTCAGCTCATTTCTGGTGAATTTTGAGGCTACGTTATGATGAATCTGCTTATTGTTGACCGTTTAGCTGCTGTCATTATCTTTGAGCACTCTTTCTATATTTTCGAAAAGCGGCCCTATCTTCAGGACAGGCAGAATTCTGATCCCTCCTTCTATGTCGCTCTGGAGCAGTACATGCCATCTCCGCATGCATCTGCTGTCAGGGAAGGTGTGAGCGTCGCCGTTCACACATTCCAAGAACGCTCGTCTCCTTGGAAAGTTAAGCCATTGTTTGGCCGCTTCCAGATAGGAAAAAAATCCATTCGTGACTCCCAAAAGATGGAGTTGGTCAACACGATTGTTAAAATTGCTTTAGAGCATCGTCTGTGTATGTTTAAATGTTATTTTGTGGCAGTAATTCCGCTGATCCGTCGTCTTCAGCAAGACCTCAACATCAAGCAATGCAACACAACATAGATGGTGTTCCGAAGTAGAGCCAACGTGTCTTGGCAGTGGATATACGTTTCTTGGGTGGTCTGTTGAGGTTGTTTCAGGAGGTGGAAATGTACAATGTTGTTGCAGGCTCACGAAATATAGCGCTTTCCCTGGTATGGTGTACGGATGTTTGGAGAATGTGAGTCGCTCTCAGCTGAGATGGTGGTAAGATCTACTGGGCTCGATCATATTCTTGCTCCAATTCAAGTGCATTGAAGTCGGGTATGCCCTACGTACCATTCTGCTCCTCAGCCTATCTCAACTTGCATCGTTCTTCTTTAACAAGATATTCAATTTATTGTCATTTCAGCGTTACATGGTATAGAAACGTATGGCACATCCCTGTTAACGTCAGTGACACCAGTTGGTAGCTAAGACTGGCTATTGGATAGATCATAGCCTTCGAAATCAAGCAGCAGAGGCACGTTGAAAGGTTTCATTCTTTGAAAGACAGTGCAGGTTATTATGGCTCTGGATTATAAGCTAGGTGGATATTGTGATCTATCATCCGTGCGCTCTGTGCATCCCCGGGGCCTACGGGTAGAACTGCGTCATTATCGTTTTCACTAAACAATAAGTTCACCGACCGCATGAATGATCTTTTGGAATCTAAATGCATCTTTTCGAGGGACTGAGATGACGCCATTGTGGAACAAAGAAGAAATCGACTTACAAGATGTCTGACATTGAGTCCAAAGAGAGATTTGCAGCGTTGGATGTCACTTACTATGCCATGGTCTTCAGTGTAACCTATAGCCTTTTCATGCGTATCTTATCAACGTACGAGAGAGAGTCTAGAGAGGATATGAAAAAACACTTACCTTTCTGATCAGTCTAACGAGCTGAATCCCGTGTGAGATCTGAGCTTGCTGCGACCGACAGCCATTATGATAACGTCCGACGTCGCCAAGTGTCAGCATCCCCGTGTACAAATCAAGACATGGACAAAAATCCTGATCTTTCGATGGAGTCGAGTTATGATACTGACACAAGAAATCAAACAGCTGCCAGTTGGCGATTAGCGTATCAATTTGCAGTCGGGCTACGCTGAAATATCCTGTGACTGCCTTCGTAAGCCGTAGCAAGGGACGGTTGGGTCTACCTTACGAGATGAATGCGCGAAAAGGTGCGTGGCCAAAGACATATCAGCTGTGGGCACCATCCGAAATGATACTCCCAATCCACGTCACATTTTTCCCTCTGCTGCTCCCTTCTGCGTATCATGCTATAACAGCGGATGCAGCAAATAAGTATAACCCTCCCCTCTGCCTGGCATGCGAGACTCTCAGCCACGGGCGCTGGCACATCTGATGAGGAAGACAAACTTGAACACGAAGATGCCAGTCGTTGAGCTGATGGCGACGGATGTTAGCTGGTGACACGAACTTGATAAGCTCCATGTTTACTATCTCTTGCTATGAAGTTGGGTATGTTCTACGCGAATGCAAGCATTAGCGGTGAAGTCCTGTGGGCGGATGATGCGAATGCGAATGTAGGGTGCTTGTACCCTCCCGTAGGGCTTATGTGGACTGTTGGTACCGTGGGTAGGTTTTCTCCTTGAAGGAGCTGAAATACGATTCGTGAAAGGGGGCCGGAGGCAAGGGTCTTGGGACTGGCATTGCGTGCCCAGATGTACGTACTACTAGTAGTCGCTTACGCCGGAGTTCGAGTAATTGAAGAATGAACTGAATTTATTGGACAGGCCTGGGTATGTAGCATGCGGATGATGAATAGGATTGTGAATTCGTGAGTGGAGGCGGACAATGATGGAATGAAGCGTGCGGGAGATAATTCAAAGTTGGGTGCCGCCCCTTCGCTTCGGAGATGATATCCCTAGATCACGAGTCGGCTACTTACTACTATGTATTACATAAGCCTTGCGGCAATCAGTACTATGTACAAGTATCGTGAAATCTTCAAGCCGGGCTGTAAACTTACTTATACTGTGTTATATGTACTACGAAGTTACCACGAGTTTCACTGCGTGAAGACCGAGGCCATTAGCATAGGTCTATAATGGTACAACATGGTAGTACTGTACTAGTTACTACTTATGATATAATCTACGACCAGTAGTTTAACCTGGAGCTGGTACGGTGACTGGACCACAGAATAGTAATGAACGCCAACAAAAAACACCAAAACTGCTCCCTCAAAGTATACCCGTCTTTCCAGATCTAAACACCATAACAATCGTAATTGCTCTCTGATCAGTGGGATAGAGGCTATTCATGACAAACTGGTTAAACTCTCCCACCAACGCCTCATCACTCTCGACACGCTCCGTGGCTGACGTGCATACATAGAAAAAGCAGTTTGTGCTGTGCTCACTTGGCACTGCACTCCGCCTCCACTGCCCGATGCACTAGCAGTTGAAGAGGGCACGGGTGTACTCGTACTAGTTGAGCTGGAATTGGAAGATGTCGGTGATGAAGTATTTGCTGCCGCGAACGGGACAACTGCAGGCCCAGGGAACGTGTACTGCACGGGCGTGTCAAAAATCGTGGGGTCGTAAATTCCTGGATCGTTATCGCTGTATCCGCCTGGAAAAGTGACTTCATCACTCGCTGGTGCGACGGCTGATTGGTCGCCCTGAATATTTACCTGTAGAGGACATGATCGATATGGAATGTAAGATTACGAACAAACATGGCTCACCTGCGTACAGCTAGGGTAGAACTCAGCGCCGCCCATCTCATTTGCGAGATGTAGTGCGATGATCTCGTGTCGTATGAGGTATTGCCCTGGAGCTAGTGTCGGAGGAAGGGTCACATTTGCTGGCCCACCATTCACTGTACGGGCAACATTCAGATAAAAAAGAATGGCGTGAATGAAGAGACGTACTGATATTTTGCTGATACCAAACCTTATTGCCTGGCTGCAGCCCCGTCTCCTCGATCTTGAACCATTCCGCGTTTGTTGAATTATACTGATCGCATGTCGTGTTGACACACTGAGCCATATAAGTCATGATGGGGCCGATATTGTGGGGCCAATTGCTGCCGTCACCACCCTTCCACCAAAACTGCAATTGACTGGATGGATTAGCGTTGGCGACAAGTGATGCGAGTTGAGCATCTTGGCCGCAATTAAGATACGGGTTGGAAGCGCCCTTCACGGGCGCAACATCATTGATCTGTCTGACGATGCTGGGAATGGGGTCGGCATTGGGAACATTCCCATAGTAGTCTGTGCCATCGATTGCAACTTGCGCGACATATCCATGGCCTGAAACAAGTGGTAGAAGTGCAAGGATGGCTAGGGAAAACTGATGCGAGCAGTAAGACATGGCACGTCGACCTAGTAGTTCAAGGATGTCGCAACGGAAGGGCTTAAGTTTTAAGCCTTATATCAGGAATGGAAAAAAGATGCGTGTAATGGAGGGGCGGTAAATTAAAGTTAGATCGGTGGAAAAATGCACACAAGGGGAGACAAGGCTCGCATACAGCGTGAGGAGAAGGCACGTCGTGGTATAGGCGGGGATGTTGTGGGGAAAAAATAAGTATAACGCAGGCGCGAGGACACAACGTGGTTGCGCTCATATACGTACATATATGCGTGGCCATCAAATTTAAACTTTTTATTGTACTCGAGCAGCTGGGGAAGAACAACAGGAGAAAATGCGTGGACAAGCAGCGTGCCCAACGTGACTCTTATATTGCTTCCGTAAGATAAGATTAGATGTACTTTCAGGTTTTCCTGCTCATCGACATCCTTTACTACTACCAACTGCAAGCACTCTCCGAGTTCAAGATACAGCTAGGCATTGATCAAGTTGTTGCATGAGAGTGTAAGCCTGAGCCAATGGAATCATCGATCTGATCACCTGCACCATCCATTTCAGCTGCGAGCCTCATGTCCGCCGCATGTCCGCGGTACCTGCTGGTTACGTGCCGGTTCTCTTCCATCGAGTGCTCGCCTTCCATACATAACGTTTTTAACTCACAAAGACGTCCGTGCATTTGGTATTCTAGGTTCCGGGAACTGTCTCCATGCCACATCAACCGCTCAAGAAGCAGACTGATTTCTATCACGGTGAAATTGTGCAAGTCAATCGGCTGCTGCTTAGGTGCAGCTATAATTACAGACCGTCGCGATTTGTCGTTTACATGGTATTCTGCAGGTCGTCAGCTTTGCTCTTGGCGTTCGGTAAGACTAAGACAGTAGTTAGAAATTTATTTATAAAGTTCCGTGGAAAAGTCGTAGTCAAGGAGCCAAGGTTAGGAGGCTTGAGGATCGTTTATTATGTACCGAACCCATTTACAAAAATCCTGCCAATTTCCAAGCGGGCAATTCCTTTCTGCCCCTTATACTACATATATGCCAAGGTATATCATATTGGTACATATCTTCTGGTGTGCTTATTTGGCGGCTGCCAGCGCCCCATCGACAATCTCGGTCATTTTTATGATAGCCTCTTCCTCCAAAGTCCGACCTACGAGTTGCAAGCAAACAGGCGCGTTCTTGAATATCTCCGGGTCGTCTGGATCAATCATATACCCATCAAACAATTGCTGGCTGCTGGCAAAGTACTCACACATTTCGTGGATACCCTTATCAAAATCGTCATAGAAAACACGACGAGGTTTCTTCGCGTCAAGAGTGGGGTCGACCGTAGTCACAGGGAAAGTCGTAGCGGGATAATCGAGCGCGTTCCAAACCGTGGTGTAGTTAGTGTACCTATGGGCTGTTTCTCACTGATAGTTTCAAATGTTGCAAATGCAAAGACACTGACCTGTTCTTCCCATGGGGAGTCGCTGCATATGATGAAGCTGGGCATATGATAGCATCAACAGGCCGTCCTGTACCAGTCTCTGATGATGTAGCTTCCCAATGGTCCAGATATTCTTTTCGGATGTCTCTGCGCAGTTTTTGCGCTTGCCAGAGCTGGTATGCGGTGATACCGATCTTCTTCGGACGGAAGGGTGCTGCCGTAGCATCTGAGTCGTCTAGCTCCATCGTCGCAATTATTGGTTCCCCTGTGGCGGAGGTCGTCATCATGTAGTCCTCGCTGGAGGCGGCGTTCCAGATGCTCCGCTGCACGACGCTGCTAGGTCAATTGGTGACATAAGTTAAGAACAGAATTACTTGCCGTGGTGTCTGCAAGCAACC